TATGTGTGAGTCTGATTGAAAGCATGTCTGTACACCAATCTTTATCTCCCTCATTGGCTGTAAGCACAGATATAGAGGAAATTATCCTCTAAAAAGTTCGTGACCCGAAGTGATCAACTTTGTGGAGGCTGGCTCCAATAAATAGTATCCCGTTAACTGAGTATTTATGCAGGCTAAATCTCTTAGTAGTGTTATTATTCAAAAGTTCGAACACCAGTTGTAGAGGTAGTTTGATGCTAGTGATTAGTTCCGTCCTATTGTGGAACTCCTCAGCACTGCGCATCCACGACCTCGCCACCTGCGAGATTCGAACCCAGGGCCTATCAGTCTTGCGCACGAACGCTTAACCACCAGACCACTGAGCCGGTGTTAATGTTTAACTTCGATAATAATAAAGTAGTACAATGAACTTACTACAAGTTACCAATATACATATATCATGTATATGATTAATAAAAATGTGAACAAACACAACAAAATAAGATAGTGTTACAAATGTAATAGTTAATATCAAGCGAATCACACGTACATGTACAGATAATACAGTGAGTATATTACTAGTAATGGTACCCATTCTTTGTTCGCTGTATTGATGCATACTGATCCTTTGAAAAAGCATTAAATATTCTAGCACCTGTAAGTGTATCTTATTCCCCAAGTGAGATCATAGAAACTTTAAATGTTTAGCCATTATTATTAGTAAATTTCCTAACTAAAACCACATACCTACTGTCACTTTACGTTAATACTGTCCCTATGTTATAGCCCAAAGCCGCCAATCAGAAGCAGCGAATTATCGATCGAACCAAGGACGCGTAAAACACGTACGAGCAGTCTAGAGTCCTGATTGGTCCTGCTTCCTGCCTAGACCAGCCAGTTAAGTCGAGAACACCAATCTCAGCCTCTGCAATATGAATCCTTATACTTCAAACATACTGAGTTCATATACTAATCAAACAGTCCACAACGTAGCATAAAATAGAAAATAACATTTGTATAAAATTTGGCCAAATATGGCTGTGAATGTGGGAGGTAGTGGTTAATAGACAGGGAATAATTCAAGAATGGAAAGTTGTATAATAATAGTTTATAGGTCAAAATAAAGCTTATGATAAGAGGAACATGAATATGAATAGTTTAGTTATTTAACAATTATACGATAAAAATATACTTTTAGTATTGGTCCTTGAATGGATCCCCAAAATTATCATTCATTATGCTTATCGTGACCTAACACCCTAGCAACTTTAACTAAGTTGAATAATATCTTACATTAACAGTATATCACTGTGTCACATGACACATGCATTGTGTCAGACCTGATTAACATACTTTAGTAATTATTGCATTGTTGTTCCGTGCTCTGAACTAGTATACTTAAAACTATCTTCTATCACATGTTTGTTCTCTACATCTAATTTTACTACTTATATCAAATTGATCATGCCTGTTAATCAACAATAGCTAGTATGAGTCTTATCTACTAATAACCTATAAGTTATCGTACCTTTGTCTGTTTCACCACAAACTGTTTAGGGTTTATATCCAAATGCTTTGCATCTCCTTTGTTTCTTTTTTTTTCAGTATCAGGCTCTCAGTGCACAGCTATGGAGCTTCTTACGCCAGAAATAAACTTAACGTGCGCCTCTGTAGTGGACCAAACAGTATATTAACCAAAAAGGAATAGCAATAAAGTTATTACGTCCAAAAGTTAATATAACAATAAACAACTTATAAATTATTAACGCAAAATAAAAGTTCAGGGACGTTACTTAAGTTAGCTGGCTGTTGCGTGTTTCGTTGTGCTTGGTACCAAAGATCCACAATTATAGATAATTAATAATTTCAATGAAGTAAATATGGCTCCAGCCAGTTTTCTCGAAGTAGAATGCAATAGGAATGTCACAAAAGTCTATAAATATAATTGATAGCTAATCAATAGTTTAGTTATTATATCCACATGCATGATAGAACGAGACATGTGTATGAGAGTGTATTTATTAATGCACAGTTAACAATGTCGTGCTATGTGTAATTCAAAACGGAAGGAAGTTAGTTATCGAGGTCACATACTTAAACAACAAGTACAATCCTTTAGTGATAAATGTACAGATTGTGGAAATAAACAAAATAAATGCAAAAGCTATCAAAAACTATTTACAAAATAGGTTTATTAGGCCTATCTCCACACCTCCTCCAAGGTCACAGTTCATGCCAGGCGCTCTTTATATCTACTTTATAACTATTATAATATCCTTAAATTGTTGTATTGCATAAATGCTTAGCAGGACCAGAATTCTACCATAACAATTCCGAGTTTGGTTCTGTTGAGCGTTTCCTATGGTCGCAACGAATGTACTGCCTTTTATTTTTACTGTTTCCACCTATTTAACAACCCTATTGGGAAGCATCTTTTATGCGAATCAATGTTGTAAATTATAGATCAAAACTGCTCTGTCGGAAGTATATATTATTATCATTAGATGAACGAATTCTTCTCTATAATTGTAGAACGAACAGTTCGAGCTCTAATTTTGGTAATCATACAATACTATTATTAATTCAATCCAGATGTACGCATTGATTTACATTCAAGTTCGATTGCTTCTGTTATTACTGTACTGATCACTGAATATAATTTCGTAAATATGCACCCAGAAATATTGATATTCTAGTCCTAATTCAATCTATTAGTTACAGTTAACGACCTCAACAAACTTTCACATCCGATTTGTAGTATCTCTCCGTCATGTTTCTCCATATCAAGCTTTTACAGCATAGTTATCAGTGTTTTCACTTTTAACAAGATAATTATGTTCTTCAGTGGGATATCATTGTCCGAAAGCTTTGACAAACTGCCTTCAGACTTTTATTAATCAAACCAGACTCCCCATATTTGAAGTAAGATTCAAAGCTTCAGGAACAACGTAGAAAACAGAAGTTTCATGTTGGTTAATCTTTAACTTGACTTCTGTGTTCCGAAATTTTCTTTTGAAGTGGTCAACGTAACCACACTGTGTTTTACTAAAGAATAAGGTCAATTGAGTGTATGGTGTTAGCATTACGGTAACGCTAGAGACTGTTCATAAATCTGCAATAATCATATCCATCTATACTGAAGTTTCTCCACATAGACGTTACTTCAATATCATGTTAACAGTACTGAAATTTAGCATGAAATAGATTACAATAAAAATTGACCTTTGTACTGTCTAGTACGATTATAAGCTTACTTTTGAACAGACTTTAATAACTCGGACAGCATGTGACACTGAGTTATTCTCACCTTCATAATAATTGTTTTTTAAAGGGGAGTTGTGACTTTCAGTACACACATATCCTTATGCCCGTGTAATTCTGCGCTTATCCTCATTATGTGTACTTGTCGATCACCCATTATCTTATCCATGCGTTTCTTTGCCACACTACACATTATCTGTTTTGAGCTATATTAACGCTTTTAACGCATAGTATAGCGAGTCGGCATGATTACCTTCGTTTATTTTAATGTTTGTCTGAGTAAACGAATGCCTAAAATAGAATTATCTAATTCGACCCGTATTTGGCTTGATATTGCACTAACGGAGTTAGTCTAGATGTAATATACGGGAGATTTACGTAAACGGCATATTTATTAGTTCATATCAATTGGAGTCAGATACCGGAGCAGAAAACCTTATCGAAGTGTTATCTCGAACGTCAACAACATTACCAGCTATTTGGGATGCGAAACTATTTCAAGACCCTTGATATTTCCGTAAGCTGAGAAGTGCTTGCTAAACAATGACGAAAATATATAACTAGGGAACAATAAATGCACCGTATCCCGGAAAGCTAACATGACCGAAGGATATACCTAGTTGACATCATAAACCTATATCCACAGCATAATCATTCTCCAAACCAGACGCTCAATACACTTTTAAGATTTTTAGTTAATTGATAGTTGCACAGGGATGCTGTGATTAAAGCTGATCCTTGGTTCTTCCTAACAGTAGCCCCGTTAGAGTGAACCAATCTAATTGAGAGCACAATAGTTCAGTTGAGGGGTAGAAATAGGATTGACGAAGATTTGAAAACGATTACGAGAATGCTTCAGAAATTGTAGGTATGCTCAAGCTGGGTAATAGGCAGATAAATTTCGATACAAGGTTAGCTACAGAACTTGTCATTCACTTCAAAAAAAGCTTACCTGACGCTACATCAACCTTTATATCCTCGCTTTTCATAATTTATCCACATTCTTCATTTATAGTAGTAAAAATCTAAAAGTCAATCGTTTTCACCAAAGATCCTCTTCCAGTCAACCTAAAAATCCTTATTGCAGGGTCACATTGCGACATGTTACGAAAAATACTACCAATACTTTGGTGGTGTTTTGTTCTCTGAGGTCAGAGAACAAAACACCACCAAAATCATCCACCTGAGCAACAAATCTTCTCCACCATCTCACTACCAATACTTGTTTCTCAAAACTCTTTCTGTTGACAAAGCGGATGCCCCCTCCACCTACGCCTACATGAACATCAATTAGCAGTCAAACGCCATGATATCTCTTCACTTATATCAATACACGTGGATAACTACGGACATTCATTCGATTGGGAAAATGTAGAAATCTTAGACAGAGGAAACTCCAAAAACACCAGAGAATTTTTAGAAGCTTGGCACTCAGGTCAATCAGCAATCAACAAACATATTGAAATCAATCCAATTTATCAACCAATCAGGAAAATCATGCATAAATATAGGAACAAAAATCAAACCAATGGGAAACACAACCAAAACAAAGAATTAAACAATGATAAATTTAAGGTCAACAAGAACCAATCAACATCGAGGTGTACAGAACAAGCTGTGAAACACATGTGGAGAAATTCGAACACTTCACTTCTATCTGAAGTTTGTGCTGATGATGTCGTTCAGAAGAACGATGAAAGCTCTACGACCAAACCATCCAGCTCAGAGAACAAAACACCAAAAACTGAATATATCCAGTCCTAAATAGTAAATTACATCATTACCTTTCAAATATTAAATAAATGGTACTTAACCATTCGTTTGTTTTTTTGTTGTTGCAAAAATGATTGGTATTCTCAAGTGTGTAATTATGAGCAACTTAGAAGGATTACATTACATTCATCTTTGTACTAGCATAATTTACCAACATGAAAAGTATTTATAGTCATCCCTTCTCTTGATTAATCAAATTTCGAGCCAAATACCAAAAAAAATCAACAATAATCAATGAAAGCTGTATCCGACTTGCATAATTTTATATATTAGAAAATCATTTCCTTCTAGATCAATTACACAAGAAAAACGTTGCATAATCATTAATTGTCAAGATACATTTAAATTACAGAATAAATAAAAGAATGATAAATATACAAATTACAAATAGATGAGTATAATAATTATTAAAATAAATAAATAAAAAACAATTATTGATTCATGGGGAAGTTTTAGAAGAAGAAAATCGTAGATAAAAAAACAAACAATGAGTTTAATACACATACACACATACATACACACACGCACACACAAACACATGAGCAAACTTAATAGTTTGACAATCGATAAAAACAAAACAAGATTAAAGTTCCATAGTTTTTGGATTAGGTAAATACATTTTCATTTTGTTGTTGTTGTTGTCATCGTCGTTGTTGTTGTTTGTTTCAGACTATTTTACTATTTAAATAACACAATGTTGTTTATATAAATAAGTCAATTATGAATAAATTTGTCAACTTTATCCTCCTAGAAACAAATGAAAAACAAATATTCTAATTCATAATTAAAATAAACTAGTTCTGTGAATAATCAATCAAATGTAACATTAAAATGAAATAGTAAACATAATCACAAGTGATTAATTGAATTAACAACGAGACTATCATTTATAGACGAATCAAACAGGTTTAAGATAAAAAAAAGGTCTCACATTTTAGCGTGAAATTCACTCATCCATTTGGGTAAATAAAGTTTTGACATTATAGTTGATGCCTTGAATGTAATTGTTAGGATATTCGGAAAACTATAACAATAATTATCATGTTAAGTCTAATGGTGTCCTTGGACTTTAAATGGAAATTCCCTATTGGTCAGTATTTATTTCACTTGTTAAATATTGTACAAATGTTGTTTTCCATTTTATGGTACGATGTGGTCTGTTTGGTTGGTATATAAACAGAGTATTTTTGAAATATAACGATTCATATCTCAGAGGCTGAGAATTGCGTTCTGGACTCAACTGGCTGGGCTAGACAGGGAAGCAGGGCCAATCAGGACTCTTGGCTGCTCGTATGTGTTTTACGTATCATTGATCAGATCGATAATTCGCAGCTCCATAATCTGCAGTCACAAGACACAACAGTAATTTCGAACCTTAACCATCAACTGTAAATCATAATACTAATTCCTCATACTGGTGGTTTATAACCCTCATTTGGTCCTAGTTATTAGATGGATACTCTTAAAATTACTTTGGTGTCGCTCAACGGTCGTCCATAAATTATAGTCTCACCGAATTAATTATGATTAGTTAACATAAGTATCAAAGTAATTTATGAATAAATAATAAAGAAAAGTTTTGTTACTTGATTATGACTTTATGCCATGATTTCAATTGATAGACGCTGATGGAAATCTGAGGAAGTCGAAATACTATTGGAAAATAGTCAAGAGTTCATGCTTACGTATGCCTACACTACCTGACCCTGTCTGAATTCACAGATTGTTTTAGTATTGATTACCTCCATCTCAGCATTTCTTGGCAAAGCTTCAGCTGTATCACATGAAACTCAGCTTTAAGCTCTAATGCATTTCAAAAAGGTACAGATGAATAATCAATTATAACAAAGAATGTATTAGTTAATATATAAGTTCAATAACCCGAATGTCTATCAATCCGTTTCGTACCAAGTGCGTCTATATGATAATTTTCTGCAATGCAACATTTTTTGAGCACAGATTTGTCACAAAATAAAAGACTAAAATACACTTCACTAAGATGAACGATGTAAATACCTTCTGTAGGACTGTGTGAATATGATTTAATACAGAACTAAAGCCGACCAATATTAAGGTTAATACCAATGTAGTAGAAGTATCAGTGATAATAAAAAAAGATTACAGATATAAAATATGATGAAACAGTAAAGAATGAATTAGTGGAATAAAAGATATAAAATAACATTGAAATCCAGGATGTATTTGTGCCACTGTGAATAATCTTGAAGCCATATCACCTAACAAGTCCAACCACTGGTCACGATAATTGAGTGGACCTCAATCAGCTGGTCTGTACCATTTAACACAACTTAGATAAACATACACTGAATTTATTGAATTGATTTTATGTTTTAGTTTTGGACGTCACTAGTCCTCTCTTTAAACCTACTTTTACAACAGCCAACATCAATTCATAAAGTTCGGTTTTTCGAAGTCATAATAATACCAAATAGTGTGGTTTACAGTCGAGCATATGATCCGGCTTTTTTATTACTGTGTTACATGCATTTTTTTGTCCATAGACAGATAATGTTGACATTTTGATGATAGGAATAATTGGAGCTTACCTCAGCGGTATCTGAATCTGTATCACTTTCAGTATTTAATTCATCATTATTTATATTTACATCACCAAGATAGGCTGAAATTGCAGTAGAGAGATAAAGAAAACAGTCGACCAAGTATAAAAATTAAGGATAAAAACTTCATTCAAATGGTTTCCTTTTATGAAACATTAAGAAAACAAGAACGGTATCGTTTGCAGAATAAAATGAATACAGAGCTGGTTTGTTGCTTTCTCCTAAGCTGCATATAAACTAATAAGTCTAATCGGTAAGCACTAAGTGTACAGGTGAAAAATGTTGAGATGTTAACGGCAAATTTTAATAAATTATGTATAAAGGAAAAACTTCAGGTAGAAGTTTGTGCTGACAATGTCCTTCAGAAGAACGATGAAAGCTCCACGACCAAACCATCCAGCTCGGAGAACAAAACTCCGTCAAAATCATTCACCTGATCTACAAGTCTTCACCATATCATAAAAGGAAATGATATATTTTGCAAAAAAAATGTTTCTATATTACTAGTGAACTGTTCCAAGTTTTCTATGGGCTATTATGACTTTCACCTAAAAACCATTCTGTAAAGTGATTTATCCATGTAGCACGGTAAACATTTTCCTTGTGACCCTTTATAAAGGTGTTAATGATTTCTTAGTCGGCTGTGCACTGTTTCCAAGTTGTTTGTGTGAACCCCAGTTGTCGGATCAACATAGTGAAGCTTATTATATTATAATGGTCTATGAGAACATCTGAACCATCTAAGAGATTTGAGCTTTCTCCAGTCGTCAGTGTAGATAGTGGTGCCATAAGGGATATATCTCTTAATAAACGGGACGAGCATTTATGGTAGTTTATTCGGCATTTTCCCAAATATCCTTCTCTTAACTCTATCCCATATGCCAAAAGCCTACTACATTTAGATAAATTTACTACTTAGCTAGTCCACTTTTACTTTCCTCCATCTAAAGCATATATGCTCGAGTAATACTGTTCCATAGATATCTAGTAATCTACCAACTCCACTGAAAGTCATCTCCACTAGCATCAAGGGTTAAAAAACACATTCTTAATGTATTTGTGCTAAAGTACACCAGGTCCTTATGAAACATAGCATAGCTCGTGCAAGACATTAGGTTCCTGAGACATAATACATCACTAACACAGCATAATTTGTTTTATTGTCAGCTTATAATAGGTGGAGAAAGATTCTTTTCTTACTAGCTTTCTTATACCATATCCATTGCAACGAAATACCAATATATATCATGAGTTTTTACAGGTACATCATCTCGTTTCCACAATCATACGTGGTTGTTTTCCATAACAATCTGAAGTAGTTCAAGTCATAATGTAGTCGATGGTCAATATCATGCTTCTCTAAGGTTCGATAAACATTATGATTGATTGATATATGTGCTGTGATCCTGAAGAGATTTGCTCGTCCTTCATTGATTCGGCTTTATATTTTAGATTTACCGTTTGGTCACTTCCCACTAAATTACTTAGAGTGGTAGTTCGAGAATTACCTAAGGTAACCTTTCTCATTAAGTAATGTAATAAAAATATAGGAAATTTAAAAAGAAAAAGACATGTAACTTAGACTTATTAGATTGTAATTACAATTAATCGAAGGGAAAACAAGTCAAAAATGATTGGTTCGCTTTTGTTACCAAGGCAGGTGAAAGTTAATCACTGACTATTTTTAAATACACAGGTTAGTGATTTAAGTTAAAGCCAATAAAAACCTTATGTTTACTACGTTAAGATTATTCATCTGACTAAGCAGATATGGATGGTGGCTAGTAGTGGGATCCAGGATGCGCGTTTCGTCCTACTTGGGATATGTCAGCCGGATATACCTGCATCCTAGAGTTGATTTTCACTCCAAGGTTTCACTGCTAGTTACCATCCATCTCTGCTCATAATGCTTGTGATTTAAAGTAATATCATGGCAATCCGCACAAGATCCACATGTGCTCATAAGAGACTAATCAATTACAGTCCTAAACATCAGTGGAAAAGTTTAATCAACCAATACGAAAATGAATTACATCATCTGACTAGTTATTTTCTCTTTTATTCCGAAGTCTATCACGGTCAGTAATATGAACAGACTAGATGTATTGGAATTTTAACATTTCTCAGGGAATAGCAAAAGCTGTCTTGTCAAGGGCTGCTTTCCCTCTTTTTGGAACAATTATTGTTGAAGCGTTGTTATCGTATAACAGGACTATCCTATTGGAAGCGAATAAATGTAGAACTTCTTTCCAGTCTGTAATCAGCTACGCATAATATACTTTAGAAATACAACCACAAAAGTTTACTTCTATGATTAGTTTAGTTACATAAATTATAAAACACTTACCAGTAACTTTGCAGTTCTATAAGATTTCAGGAAAGTATTATTATTATTAGTAATTTAAGTGCTTAACTTATAAGACTAGGACGAAACATAAATATATCGGATTTTGAATTTTACTACATTATGGAGTAGGATGTTTATAATTTGATGGGTGAATTTTCGATTATTAAAATTAAGTAGAAAAGTGCAAATCGATTAGACGATATGCTGTGATACGAAGAGCCCTAGTGATGTTGACCCTTAATTCATATGGCGTCAGAAGACAAGACAGCTGTGCAGTAGAATATTTTTACGTAATTATATTATACTGTGCGGTCATCCAATTCTAGTACTAATATACGAACTTCCTATATACGTACCCAAACCAGCGACCTGAGCGGTGAAGTCAAATTTGAATCGGAAGCCATTATTAGCTAACCGAATCGAAAATAGATATACAGATCATCCATAAGTATAGACGCACGTCCCTCAGAGAGTGAAGCTATATGTTCGACCAATAGCATGCACCCACTAGCATCTCTTAATTCCTGTCTGATCTATGTCTGATTGACCCAGTGTATCAAATTAAATAACATGCTTGTATACACCATATTACACTGAGGTAGCTTGGGCAGCGTTCGGCATCTTGGTAACATTTTCTAGGAACATTGATTAAGATAACCTAACACACGAGTAGGCACTTAGAGTTTCATTGATTAGTGCACAAATGAATACGGTAAATACATACATAAATATGTAAATAGAAAAAAATCACTCATCATTATTATTGAAACAACTTACTTGGAGTAATCATACAATTGTCAGCCACTTCATTAGTAACATCAACTCTATTGTTAGTTACACAAGTGGTAACATTGAATAGATTATTCTCTTTTCCACACTGATATTGTTGTTGATTATTACGAATGAATGAGTTGTATTTCTCTGTCGACAAATCAGTGTGACAGACTGAACAAACACGTACACGTGATGAACCTTGATAGGGAAGTATCCAACGGTAAGTGGAACATTTATCACAAACAACTTTGCCACAATGTCGACAATGATGCTAAAATTAACAGGAAACAATGGATATGAAGGGAAAACCGATAATAATAATAATAATAATAGTAACAATACCAATAATAGTAACAATAATAATAGTAATAATAATAATAAAGTGCAATTGAGTAATCCATATGTACAGTTTTTCAGCTCTACATTTGAGCCTTGAATTTTTAAAGCGAGAGCTACTAATACTATTTGAGTAATGTAACTTATTTGCCGAAAACAGGTTTATTTACTTAGTTTTCAGCCAAATAGCCTGTTAGAACTAGTGATACATACGAATAATCGATAACTGAGTAATGAACAGTGTCATATTTTTGAAGTCTTTTTAATGTTGATAGAATTCAATCGATCAATTTTCATTCTTACTAGTAGTCTAAGGGACTTGACATCACTCACATTGCGTTGAGATGTAAATGGTCGACAGAAAACCTTGAACCTAAGTTTCGGGTAAGTTACTACTACTCAGTGTCTCAAATCAAAGTGTGGTGAGAAACAAATTTGAAATTAAAGGATTGAAATATCAGTGCTTTAATCATTAAACCCTTGGTTCACTGTTACTAATATGACAATTAGTTAATAAAGTAAAGCCTTTCTGGCGACCGTACAGTACAGGGACGAATTTAGAACAACTGCGATGAATTTTCGGATAGTTCTTGATCAATTGAAAAACACTTTGCACGTTCATGGTTTATGTGAAATATACCAATAATATTAAAAAGCGTATACAGGTTTTACATATTTAGTGAGTTTATTCAAACCTTCTACAGGTAACTCTCTGTAAATTGAAGGAACAATGACAAATAAACCCGTCATTATAGACGTGGATTACCTGTCCTTTGGACAGTTCCAAAGACCCACAAAGATTTTTAAGAGATCCTAATTTGTTCCTAATAGAGGTTAGATATTTATAGTAAGAACACGGGGTTTAGAGTTGCATCTTTCATCACAGATTGATATCAGCCAATAACGAGGACATTTTCTATAGCCAAGTAGATGGATGAATTTCGTACAATACAACAGGCATTTTTGATCTGGTGTCACCAGGTTAAGGTTTGTTTCAGGATTAAAGTTTTAGGGTTGGAATTTAAGAAGTGTCTAATCGGCTGTTATATACAACCTATGGGAAAGATAATGAGTATATGAAACATTTAACACCATTATTTTATTGTGTGGTAGCGGGAAGTAATTTTTTATCAATTTAAAGGTTTTGAGTGGTATACAAAGGTATTTATAATGTTTGTTATACGTGGTATTTGAATTTTACGTCAAAACCCGAAAGTTGAGTCTTGATTATGGTCAGCTTGATTCCGTACTATATTGTACCACCTTTCTAACCAATAAAAACCAATCAGATTAGTTACACATCGTGTAGAAACTAACACGTTTCTAGGGATTTAGATCTTACTTTTCATTATATACAAGTAGGAAAATACATATTATAAGTAAGCAGTTCTTCATATAGATGATAAATGTTATTCAATATCCATAAGAAAGCTAGTCTTTTGAACTTTTTCATAACTTCTGACAATATTCCTTCATCTATAAATTATTTCTATGATTTCTTCAATTATATCTTCTAAGATATTCGTATAAATAACTGTGAGAATGATTTTTTTGACTCTTCAACGTTAATTGTTTTAAAAACCTACATTCATATCAACTTGAACAATCTAATCAGTAATTCTGTGATGTAAAGCATTCCCCGCTTGTGTTGTGTAGACGAAAGTACACGGTGATTGATCGATATTTTCAGACAGACAAAAGGTAGTTAGACAGATATCTGATTCTATCATTTTATTTTGCTACCGTAGAATATACGTGTTAGTCTCATAAAGTGTTCTTGATCTGAACTGGCTCAATGTGTGTGATAAGATGTTTGGTTGGGCATCTAGTACAGAATGTGATCTTATATCTGATGGAATTGTTCCAATGGTTGACCTAGGAAATAAAGTGCCCCATTTATGTAATCGGGAAGACCTGACTTTATTTCGTCGTTCTTCTTTTTCTTTTTTCATCATTAATGTAGTAATAATTTCCAGGTTATGAGCAATTGAAGTAAATTCACGAAATAAATAAGATTACATAATAACTATGTTACAATTCTTAGTCTTCTTTTACTAAAACATATATGACGAGATTTTGTCCACAGTTTACGGAACATATTCTGACAAAGTATATTTTAAATTAGGTCACATCTGAACACGTTAACTGACCCGAAAACAATCTTAACACAATAACAATTTATACAAAATAAACATTAAAATTTAACTAATAACAAAGAATTACTATATTTAAAATTGGATAGAACTAGAAAGGAAGATCCAGGACAGAGTGAGTTGGAGAATGCTGGTCGACGGCCTATGCTTCATTGAAAGTAACAGGCGTAAATAAGTAAGTAAGTAATATTTAATAGGCTATCTGATATGATGATAGATTCAAGAAAATGATACAACTAAATAAATACATTGTTATTTTAGACTAATAATTTATATTGAACTATATTAGTACTTAGAAAAGTATAAATTCATTTATTATGGTATCATAATTGCATGTGATATAGTATAAACTTCCGATTCAAACATTCCATAACATCATTAAATTAAATAATAAAATTTCATAAAATGAAGTCTTTCAAAACAAACTTTTTTTCTTTCTTTCAAAATTGAATATGAAAGTATAGAAATCTAGTTTTAGTTGATTGTTTGTTACTTCTTATGTTAATAAAATTTGAAATGGATTAGTTTATTATTTATTAACATTAAATTATTGATTTATCCCTCCATTCCTCTAGAGCTGACTCTTCTAACTGTAAGTATAATTTCGAAGAAGGCTTCTGGTGAAGCAAGGTGACCAGAATTAACTAAATGTTCCATGAATGAGCTTTTGACTGACTTCTGTAATCCTTTCGAAATCCAGACAAGATAATATTCGGAGATGTGTTTCAAAATAGTTTGCTTTGTGAAATCGATATAACCTGCTCCATATGAGCAAGTAAACTGATAGATGCACATTGATTTAGCCTAAAGAAGGATCAGACTTTCAGGTCGAAGGCTCGGGGTGTGGCCCCCTAAGAAAACCACCTGCTTCGGTTTGGACACCCGGGCAGTATTACAACACTCACACATATCGAGATTTGTGTGGCGCATATGTATTCGGTGCTTCCTTGTACCAATATCTATGTATTAAAATAATAAATAATAATAATAATAAAAGAAGGAGCTTATCAGTTTACTTGGTGATGTTGAACAGATTACATTGGCCACACAGAGCGAGCTCTATTAAAATGCATATCCAAAATTACTCTGCCTGCATTTCTAAAGGATTACAGAAATCAGTTAAAAGCTCAATCTTGGAGCATCTAATTAATAAATCTTGAGAATAATTACGGAATGCATGACAGTTAGCTGGTAAGAAAAGGTTTAAGAGATTATCTTCTTACAATACCGATTCACCTTCAATAATACAGACATTTCTGTGAACCAATGACTTCTTAAAAAATAAACGAAAGGTGTTTAGCAGTAGAATTTAGAATATGTACTTGGAACTAGTCAGCTGGATGTATGCACATCTGAAAGTTCATCACTTCGTGATTCGATTGCAGTGTTTTTTGTTTCAAACGCTAAACACGTTATCCATTCATTCGTCAAAAACGGAAATAAATCCCAATTTAATTTGTAATGCTTCTTTTTGGATTGTCTCATTGATATATTTCAATAAAAAATATTAACATGATACAGTGGGTCAATCAAAAGTAGCTAAATGAGAAAACCATGTTCCAATCAAAAATCTCCGGATGACAAGTACATATTATTGGCCAAGAAATGGTTTTATTTCTTAAGTCAACATATGTAGATGCTCTTGCATTTGATTTGGTTTAGCTCAATAAAATTCTTTATTCTCTCTTAGTTTTTTATCAATATAAGGCTGGGGGCTTGCATATAGGAACTTTTGTGTATCAGTATCAGTTTCGGATATCGCGCGTCATAACACAACGGAATAATACAAGACCATTAAAAGTTGAATTGACCACTTATTTATAAATAAACTAAACAAATCACAAACACATAAACCTCAGCTTTACTCAACTATACTCTTTTTCCCTTCATTTCTTTACAATGTTAACCATATTTGAAGTATTTTATCATTGAGCTATAAGGTATAACCATCCGAAAAGCTGTGGAAACAGCAGTGATATCTGCTAGTAAGGTAAACCATAAGGTTAGGGAGCAACACTGGATCTCAACAGCATCTATCGCACTGATGGATGCTCGGAAACTCATTCCACTTGGCTCTGAACATAATGAAGAGCGGAGTCAGCTTAAGCGCAAGCTGACAAGAAGTCTACGCAATGATCGCGAACAGTTGTGGGTAGCGAAAGCAAGAGAGATGGAAAAGGCAGCGGCAATAGGTAATAGCAGACAATTGTTCAGACTCGTTAAGGAAACCGGAATTAGGAACCCGACCGTTAGCGAAACAATCTCAGAGAAGGATGGACATATTATTCATTCTCAATCCAGGAGATTGGATCGATGGGCAGAACACTTTAGGGATCAGTTCAACTGGCCTTCAGCCACAGTTCGGTTTCCCACGATCTCTAGTCAACCTGAATGGCAAGTTAATGTAGGTCCTCCGTCCCTTTACGAAGTTGAAAAAGCCATAGGAAATCTGAAACGAGGGAGAGCAGTAGGCCCTGACAGGTTTACTCCTGAGATTTTTAAGGATGGTGGTCCAGTATTAGCAATGAGATTAACCGAGGTCTTAGGTAGAATTTGGGAACTGGACGTAATCCCATCTGACTGGTCTCAATCACTGATTGTGCCAGTCTATAAGAAAGGACAAAAGTCCTCTTGTGACAATCACACAGGAATCAGTTTGACTAATATTGTGTCTGAAATATTAGCTTCAATAATACTTCGACGACTAATCAGAGCTCGCGAAGAACAGACTAGAGAAAATCAGGCTGGTTTTCGACCTGGACGTGGTTGTATAGATCAGATATTCACACTACGTCAGGTTCTAGAACACAGACACACATTCAGACGCCTCACAATGGTGGTATTTCTCGACCTTAAGGCGGCATTCGACTCTGTTGATCGTGAGGTTCTATGGCAGTGTTTGTCATTGAAAGGAGGATCAAAGAAGTACATTAACCTTATAAAGGCTCTCTACTCGAACACAACTGGTAGAGTGAGAGCTTATGGCGAACTGTCATCAGAATTGATTACCTCTAGTGATGTTCGCCAGGGCTGTCCACTCTCTCCATTCTTGTTTAACTTTGCTATTGACATGCTTTTAGAGATGACACTCTCCTCATCTGACTTTACAGAGATTGAACTTCTACCGAGAGGTTCACTTGTCGACTTAGAATATGCAGATGACATAGTTTTATTTGGTGAAGACGCTGACAAAATGCAGAGTCTTCTGACCACTCTAAGCAACAGTGCAAGCATCTTAGGGATGCGATTCTCTCCCTCGAAATGCCAAATTTTGCTTCAGGATTGGGTTACATCGACACCCGAACTAGTGATAGGGAGTGAAGTAGTTGAGTGTGTAGACCGCTTCACTTATCTTGGAAGTCTCATCAGCCCTTGTGGTGTGGTGTGTGACGAAATCTCAGCACGGATACAGAAGGCTCGACTAGCTTTTGCCAACTTGCGTCATTTATGGCGTAGGCGAGATATCCGTCTATCAACCAAAGGACGTGTTTACTGCGCAGCAGTTCGTTCCGTACTACTTTATGGCAGTGAAACATGGCCGGTAAGAGTAGATGATATCCGTAGGTTACTAGTATTTGATCATAGGTGTCTTCAAAATAGTGCTCGTATATCATGGGACCATCGAGTAAGTAACACAGTTGTTCAGTCCGTCAGCTACAACGTAGGACCAGGCACATATGTGCATCGGTCCAGGTTGCCATACCTCATTAGCACAGCAAGATGAACAGCGGATTCATAGGAGTGGTTAGGTCAAAGGTTGCAATAAGGATATAGTATAGGAAGAAAGAATTAGTTCGTAGAAAAAAGAATAAAGTGATTTTAGTCTCTTAGTTTAAGGGAAGACAGGGAGTGTATACACCGACGCCATTGTGATCGATTCTGAGCCATGTCACCAAGAGTCTCCAACCATTGGTTACGAAAGTCACGCGGACCCCAACCAAGTAGTCTGCATCTACCAACATGGCTCAGACTAGAAGTTAGTGACTTCAGGCACTGATGCCACGTTTTGGTTTGGCCGCCCCTAACTTTCTTCCAACCATCCCCTACCCCGGTTAGCATTGCACGTCGTGGTAATCGGTGTTCAGGCATACGTAATACGTGGCCCAACCATCTCAGTCGATGAAGATTCATAACCTCATCAACTGATTTACCATCATTCCCTAATACCCTGCGTCTAACCTCACTATTACTTACCCGGTGATCCCAGCAGATGCCAGCAATATTTCTAAAGCATCTGTGGTCAAATACTAATAGCTTACGGGTGTCTTCTACTCTTAAGGGCCATGTTTCGCTGCCGTAAATTAAAACAGAACGAACTGCCGCGCAATATACTCGTCCTTTTATTGATAGACGGATATCTCGCCTTCGCCAAAGGTGACGTAAGTTGGCAAAAGCCAAACGAGTTTTTCGAATCCGTGCTGAGATTTCGTCAGGCACCAACCCATTAGGGATGATCAAACTTCCAAGATAAGTGAAGTTGTCAACGCGTTCAACTACTTCACTCCCTATCCTTAGTTCAGGTGTTGACGGAGACCAGTCCTGAAGCAACAACTTGCATTTAGAGGGAGAGAAGCGCATTCCAAACATCCTGGCATTGTTGCTTAGTGCTACCAGAAGACTCTGCATTTTGTCAGCGTCTTCACCAAACAGGACTATGTCATCTGCGTATTCTAAGTCGATAAGTGGACGTCCTGGAAGGAGATCAATACCCGAGAATTCAGTCGACGAGAGTGTTATTTCCATCAATAGGTCTATGATGAAGTTAAACAAAAATGAAGAAAGTGGACAGCCTTGACGGACACCACTTGAGGTTTCAAAAGTAGATGACAGTTCGCCATAAGCTCTGACTCGACTAGTAGTGTTCGAGTAAAGAAACACAGTTGTTAGGAAACGGGTACTAGGTAAGGATGGCAAATCAATTGATGAAGTAGTGAAACTTCATCAGTTGAGATGCCTGGGACACGTGTTACGTATGCCCAACCACCGACTGCCTCGACGTGCTATGTTCAGTGGTATAGGAGTAGGTTGGAAGAAAGCTAGGGGCGGCCAAACCAAAACATGGCACAAGTCCATGAAGTCACTGACAAGTGGACTGAGTCATGTTGGTAGGTGTAAACTACCTGGTTGGGGACCGCGAGATGATAGCAACCGATGGCTAGAGACCCTGAATGACATGGCTCAAAATCATTTGCAATGGCGCAGGTGCATACACTCTTTGTGTTCTCCCAAATTTTGATCTCCTTATTCCTCCTTGTCTCTTTTTTTCTCCTCTCAAATTTATTTCACTGTATTATACTCTTTAAGTAACATCTCCAAACACTAATCTTCCCGATTAATGCTTATACTCTTATTACCTCTACCACTACGGGATTTGAATCGACCACTGCATCTCTGTGCTAATGTGGTGTGGCAATTCGAACTGATGTACGTACGTACGAAGTTCTACGTTGTTACTGACTGACTGACTGAAGGTATAACCATTGAAACAAATGTTTACTAGGCGTGGAATAACATGAATTACGGGTAAATGTAATGCGTTTTAAGTTACATTCTTTGTAAAGGGATTTGTGATGCACTATCCAGAGATGAAAAGAGGTTTGAGTCTGGAGAGTGCCAGGTAAAAAAATGAGTATTTCAACTGTTTTACGAGTCAAGTGTAGCTTATTCATGAAGGAGACATGTTGTTAGATGTAGGGTTTTTATCAGTAGAAGATTAATTAAGTATTCGATGCTTAAACTTAGTTGTGATGCCGACACTGATAAGAAGCAAACTTCTGGGTACTATGGTTTGGATTTTACACGTAAACAAATTTCTAGAACTTTAGTATTGATGACAGAATGGGGTGACCATGAAAAACGGGAAAATGCCAGATTTTAAGGCAAACTGCTGTTGATTAAACAACTGTCTACATGGTTTACACTTCGACAGTACTTTAAAATCTGACAACTTGATTCTCTGAGAGTACAAAATTGCCTGTGGGGTTTCTATGCTTCTTTCTTATTTATTTCAAGTTTTTTTTATTTTGCACTCAGGTTGACAATCACGTTGTGGCAAGTCTATGAGCAATGTGGGAACAAGTCTATACTTCCAGCAAATTCGATGCAAGTTCACCACTTCGCGGATCAAACACTAAAGCAATGTATCAAAATAGCCGAAAATAATTAAAATTTAAAACATTTGAAACAACTTACTCTTCGATGAACAAGACTGAATTCAGTAGTACCACATACCATACAATGAGATGCTTCTGAATCCGGAATCCATATTGGAGATTTTCTAACTGAATCGTATTGCACACCTTTGTTAAGGTTAACAAATTATAAATGAATTCATTAAATAGAACAGATAGAAAGAATTAAATAGTCAGACTCAAATTTACTGTCGTTGTGTAATAACTTATCAAAGATGTAAAAAATAAATACGATTTCGAAATCAGCTTGTTCATTTATTTATTGTTTAATAAGATATGACTGAAAATGGAGTAAAAGAAGCATATTTCACTGTATCCAGAACTTGTGAACTAGTTATACTTAAATTCTCTAGCTGGTTTCCTTTCCTCAACAGAGATCCAGCCACTAAATTGTAATAGATCCATCTTTGACAAGTAATATATCTTACTTAATGACTTATTAACTGACATAAAACTTCGGAGAATATAAACAATGGAATACGTACTCAGCTAGTCAGTCAGACGTAATGGAGACTCTGGTATATGTGTACATCAGTTCAAGTTGTCATACCTCATTAATACAGCGAGATAAAATTGTCAGTATAAATCTAATAGCAGTAGCATAAGTAGTATTTGTATTAGCGGTAATCGAAGAAAATGGGTACTGAAAATAACATTTGGGAAGGAAATATGGCTTTGTGCAACAAAATAAATTTGTAAGGTAATTTAAAAATAGTGAATGGACCTATACCACTGGGAACGATTTCGATCCATATCACCCAAAGTCTCCGACCATAGGTTACGGTAATCACGCAAACTCCATTCAGGTGGTCTGCACCTACATACATGGCACGGCCTAACAGTCAATCTCTTTATGGACAGATAACACGTCCTTGTTTAGCCGCCCTTACTTTTCTTACAACCTATCCCTACACCAGACAACATCCAAGGTTTTGACTAGTTCAAAAAAATAAAAGATAAAGCTGGAGAAAATTTCAATAAGGATATTCTTCAGGAGGTACTTAATCGGGATACTAAGTCACAGCATCAGTCAAAGGCATCAAACCCCAAAATTTCGTGGTAGAAAACATTATTTTGCTTAGGCTTATCAATAATCATGCTTTCAAGTTCGATAGACATATGGGTTCAAAATCATGTCTCAAAATGTCGATTGCACTGCACCACGTACCCGACTCAGTTTCAGCTGTCAGCGCTGTACCATGACAATCTAGGTGTATTTGAGTAATGACCATTGGCAAATGTGAGAAAATTGTGTGAAACCCCTAACAGGGGCAATTTAAACCAGAAATTCTGACAACCTGTTATAACTTGTGGCCTGTGTGCCCTGTTAATGTACAACGTAATGATACCGCCTATCAGAGAGTAGTGAATTACCGATCGGACCAATGACGCACAAAACAAGTACGAGTAGTCTAGAGTCTTTATTGGTCCTGCTTCCTGCCTAGACCAGCCAGTTAAGTCAAGAACAACAATCTCAGCCTCTGCGATGATACATTTATTTCGAACGTACTGGGTTTATATACCAACCACACAGACCACATAATACCATAAAATAGGAACCAACATTTGGCCAAATATGGTTGTGAATGTGGAAGGTAGTGATTAATAGACGGCATAATTCAAGAATGGTAAATCGTATAATAATAGTTCATAGGTCAAAATAAGGCTTATAATAAGAGGGACATGGATATGAATAGTTTAGTTATTTAACAATTATATGGTAAAAATATACGCATAGTATTGGTCCATAAATGGATCCCAAAAGTTACCATTCATTATGCTTATCGAGGCATAAGACAACCTGAGTTAAATGCCAGCCACTGGGAAGGATACTGAAATGTACTTTTGATTTAGAACCTAGTATAGTATGACATGACTAAAAAGGCTCAAAGCATTATGGTTTAAACAATTAGTGCGGTTGGGTTCTTGATATCTGGACGTCTTCATTAGTTCCCAGTTACCCATCCCACTAACAGGTTTTTGATGATACAGAACATCAATGTTGCTCCAAATGCGTTAGGCTCACTTCCGATTTTAAACGAGAGCGACTTTTCCTCACCTCGACTAAACCGCTGCTTATATTCTATGTGGCAATATTAATTAAATGATCATTTACATGTAAGACTAACAGAAACTAATGTTTGGCACTCACAGTAGGATATTTAAGTAAGCGTTAGGAATTATTATAACACAATGGAGTTAATGTTCATAAGCAGAAGAGTTTTTAAAGCGTTATCACTAGTAAAAAATGCAACAAATGTAATTCGCCTATGAAAGATTTTAGAAAATACATATGGATAAAGTGAAGAACTTTAAGTTCCATAACTTGAGAAATACGGGTTTACAACTAATGATACAGGACTAAAGAAGAGAGTCATCCGGAAATACTATTGAACTTGATTGTTGAGAATACATCACGAATGCTACTGTGACCTGAACTAGTGAGATTAGGTTTCACATGAGTGAAACAAAAAATATTATAAAGGCTCAAAGTGAGACCAAGCAACACAAGCTCTTCATGAATGGCAGTTTACAAAGTGACGTTAAGAGAAGCAAATAAGATCGTGCTTATTCAGTTGGTTACTAAAAATACATAGGTTTTGGCTAAAACAAACGAATAAATTCCTTCAGGTAGATTTAGTTAGGGAAACATTGAATGATAGTAGGTATATTATAGGGACCAACTTGATCTATCGTTTGGTCATTTAAGATACCTAGTTTTATGTGGTTAAATACATAAATCTCATAAATATATGTTATCTAATCTGTCACTTTCGACACATCCTATTTGCATAAATAAACATTTATTGAAGCTTTCTTTACATACACTGATTTATTATTAAGTCATAAACTGGATGTAATTGTCTTAAATACCCAAACAATGTGTTGCAAAAAATGAGTATTCTAGTTGTTATTTGGCCTACCAGAAGCAAAGTTTGAAATACATTTCTTCAGATGAATTACCCATTGTGTTTTCTCTTCAGAAGTGCTCGCATAAACCGTAAAAGACTTTCTTGGACTGAGAATTGAAAATCCATTCCGGTAGACTAAATTAGTTAGACTATATATTACACTTACTCCCATTGTCCACGACATTCTTAACACAGGAGTCAGCGAGGTCTATGAACTGAGGGCTACAAAGCTACGGAATTCAGAATTAAATGAAACTTCGAACTCACAACTTTCCTATTTAATACAATCCTTCCATAGATTAACACATCACTAAATAGGAAAAAGTGTCTCAGTTTGGGCTTTCTTCTACATATCTTTGTCAAAACACCTTCCCCAACTAACACGCGATTTGAAGTTACTAGTTTCTACAAATGAGTTTATATATTTAAACAAAACATACATTAGAAGGGAATCCAAAAAGCCTTTCCACTTCGAAAATACGTTCTATATTTTGTTTTGGATCATCTTGAGTTCATGAGATATGTAAAAAGACAGTATTAACATACAAAACACTCCATTATCCATTGCAGGAAACCAGATTATTTGTGGTTGACAGGTATCCCCTCAGGAACTGAAGTAAGAGATGAAGTCTTCAGGGTAAGAGACAGAAAAAACCACCATGAGTGATCATCTATTAAGATAATCCATAAAAACCGTATGTTAAAAGTCATATATGAGCCGAACAGAGTCAAACAGTTTTCCCGAAAAAACACAAAATAGTACTAATACCAAGACAACTGATACTAAAGGGTATGAGACTTCGTACGAAGTAGATTAGTCAAGTGAGGTTAAGCATTTGACGAACTGGTGAAATTTTACAGTCAACTAAAGTTAAGTTGGGGACGTTTTTGAGACTCAGATGTGCAAAGCAACTCGTTACATTACGGGGATGAGAATATCTTCAGACAATATCCTCAATAATGCCTTGTGAATAAGATGTCGGATGTCTACATTGCTGGTATGCATTACAAAGACATATCGTTCGATGGATCGAGGCTCTATGGAAGAGAATGTCGTGGCTCCTGCCGGGTACAGAAAAGTTCAGTCTTCACCATGGAGTGAAATATAATTAGTCTACAAATTAGTCCTCAGTTTCTTCCTATTTAAGAGACGAAATAAAAGAAATAGTACTTAGTGTATTTCTGGAAGCATTGAAGTTTACAACTAAGACAGAGTCCAGTCTAAAGGCTCCACCGTTCTTGGATGTCATCAAGAGATAAGCAAAGTCGATAGGATACATGAACGCTCCACGGTGTCGACGAATCTTCTATTCTTGTAATGCCCGAGGAAAATACTATAGAACAGAAATTCTACCAGCGGCTATACGAAAATCTTAAGATCAGAGATGCGTCAAACTAAGAATATGTGTTCTAAAACTAAGTTTTACCGTTATGCTGTCGTGGCAGTTTATTTTAACTCATCCTTGTGTCAAACTTTAGTGATAATGGCTGATTTTACAACTTCCGACAGGTAAGGAGATTTGCAAGAACCTGGTAGGACAACTTAGGTAGATCGGAAACAATACAACTACAAATTCTATTGATAAATAATTTCCATAACAAGATATTCGTACAAATAAAATGACCAAGATGATACAGCTCTGGGAGCTCCATAGTACAGGCTTTGTGCCTAACTAAGGGATACAAAGACAATGTTCAACCTCATAGAGTGTAATAATTTTCTGGAGGTGGCGGTAAGTCAAAAACCACCGAAACTACACAAATAACACTGCAAATCGATGTGCCTAATTTGAAGCATAACTTAGTTGCTACACGCTATATGTTGGTTTCACAAATATTAGTGCTTGTTGACCGCCTGCCTTTACATTTAGTATTACTCATTTACGAAATCATGATCTATGTAGTTAGCTCTGAGCCACACAATGTATAAGTGGTAGTGGTATTATCTCGCTGCCCAAGACGAAGTGGGTTAAATGGTACTCAATCCTAGAACCCAGTAGCCGGGAATCGAAACCGATTTACCACTAATCCATAGCTCCACCATTGTGTAGCAGGCTATCTTCCGTTCATGACTTCAAATCAAGACAAGAATCCATTTACAAAAACCAGAGCTTTAAAATGACCATATCTAGCGGCATAAAAACTGTCCACTCTACTTCAAACAACACTTCCTGGGGGTATATTCAGTAGGTCGAATACGTATTCCAAGTTCTTAGACCAAGAGGTGGCAAACCTGGGACAGAAGAATGTGGTATAACATTTGTTTGACACGTATTATGCAATTCCTTTCTCACAAAGATATTGATATCATATCAACAAGAAACTAACGAATTCGCCAATAAACTTATTTGGAAGAGTACAATTAAACCTTCCACTTACTGATGGTCTTTAAACTAAACTATACTACTGGGGCTGTCAGGATTAAAATAACAACTATGGATTCACTGTGTGAAATTCATACGGCAGTGCTGGGCAGCATTGTGGGATTTCAGGGGATACTCTTATTTCGAGCTAAAATCATCACTTCAAAACGGGAATGAAAACCTATTTCTAGCATCGTGACGAAAAACTGACAGCATCAAAGCAAATAACACGTAAATCTTATTCATTACAGTAAAGACTCTATAAGAAACAATGTTATGAAACTTTGTGAAATTTTTCTTTCGTCTGAAGCACACTCAGTTGCATCATATGATTGTTACTAAATTGAATTAAAAGTAATTTTTACACTATTGGATTGTTTTCACAGGACGCTAGTATATTCTCTCGGAAGCTTTGTGCAAAAACATCGTTGGAACTACTAAGAATAATTTGTAGGTATGTATAATTCGTTAGAGGACTTACGCATAAACTGAACATCGGTCGTATGAATCTGTAAGAGTTGGCTTTAGGGTAGATATTACATTGCAAACCTTAAGAAACTCACAAGCTGCTTGAAACTAGCATACGCGTTTGACCTTCACTACATTTAAGCGAAACATTTGTGCTTTTAACTACGTGTCCCTATTTTTGAATTTCCTCGACTTTGGTAGTCGTTTAATTTATCCTTAAGAAATTCATATGTTAGACTTCTGAAGTGTCTGAAGAACTTAGACTATTTCAGATATCGGAAGTTGAATACAAAACCTAAGTTGAGTTGTTTTCTGCCACGAAGAATTAACGAAACAGATGTTTTAGTGAGTTTTGAGAGGTCTGCTACTTTTGATTTAAAGTTAGAATACCGGCATTTAGGGAAATACTCGCTAGACAGACCAGAAGCTTATAATAAAAGTAGTTTTGTTATATCCCAATGAGCAGAAAAATTGTATATCTGACGTTACCTGACTTAATGTGAACTAAATTAATTTAATTTCGTTTGTTTATTTAATATAAAGACGTGGTACACATTAAGTCAAGAAACGTCAGAAATACAATCCTATGCTCATTGAGGCTGAACATTTATCACTAAATTTCTCAAGTTATTTCAAACTACCCAATCTTTCTATTTTGGAATTCTCCTCGAAGTTCGATGGTCTTCACCGACACTTTTGGGATATCCCCAGATCTGAGGAAATTTCGTGGCTTTATGCCATTTCCTCTAAAGTTTTCAAAGCGGCTTCACCAAAACGGAAGAAATTTCCCCCAAAATAGAGATTGGTTATAGTATCAAACACATAAATATCAAGTCAAACCTTGATACTGGTACCTATAGAGAAGAAACTGCAGGAACTAATTACGACTACGCTTCCCAGTAGAACCCTTATTATTTTTAAGGACCGGTAAATACTCAATCACTGCTCACCATCTGCAGGATTGATAAAAAGTCTACTGTCTTTCAAATTCTGCCGCGCTAGTTCAAGGTCAATCAGTTTACACGACCTTGACGGCCGGACAATATCATGCAACTTGGTTGCATGAATCATTTACGTCAAACAGGCATGCTCTAAAGAATCTGGTTGTATCGAGAGTATCTAATTTCACGCGAGATTTGAAAAGCCAAATACTGATAGGCTTATTTAATTATTTGAACACAATTAATGATGCAAGATGGTACCAAATATATATGCGCCACACAAAACAATGAGAATTTGAAGAGAAAAACAGAACAAAAACGAACGGATTAGTGTAAGGCAGTGTAATAATAATAATATTGATAATGGGGAAATGAAAAGGTACAATCAGAAGAACTCTTTCAGGTAAGGAAGATACAACCATTTTTTTTCTATGAAGAACGTAAAAGAAAGTTACAGCAGGATCGTCACTGGCTTCTATTCTGAGCCATATCTGAAAACGTCTATAGCCACTGTGTTGCAACATCTCTAGGACTCCAGTCAGGGAGTCGTGGAGGACCGATAGAAGCCAGCCCTTTGCAGGTTTATTTCATGCCACGACACCATGTCATACGCTGACCACCTCTCCGCTGCGATTGTTGGCCTTTTATAACTGACGGTGTTCTAACATTTGGCGGAGGGTGAAGATATGATCAATACATCCTCGACCAAAACGAAGACCAGTCTGCTCCTCGTGAGTCAATCTTTCTCGGGTTTTGAACAATCTACGAAGTACGACGGAAGCCAATAGTTTGGACGCAATCGGAATTAGACTTATCCCCCGATATTTGTTACAGGAACGACGGGAACCTTTTTTAAAGATAGAGACAACTATCGACTCATTCCATGACGTTGGTACACTCTACCTCCCAGGCCTTCGTAAACAACGTCATCAGTTCCTTAGTCAGAAAGTCACTACCATCTTTAAAAAAAAGCCGGAGGTAAGTCATCTAAGCCTGGTGATTTGTGGCGCTTCAAGAGTTGGAGTTCTTTGCGGACTTCCACCTCATTTGGTGGATCAGTCGTCACCGGCCATGGAGGGCAGGACGGTCTGACCGATGTTGCCGGAGCAGCAAGCCAGTTGAACTGCCTTTCGAAGAATTCTGCCCATCGTCCAAGACATCGATGGATGTTAGTGATTGACATCCCGTCATCCTCACAGATTGTTTCGCTCACACCAGACTTCTTGCTGCCAGTGGCTCGGACGAGTTGGAAGAGCTTCCGGTAGTTACCAGATGCAGCTGCTGCTTCAAGCTCATTAGCACGCTCCGACCAACAGGCTTCTCGGTCCTTACTCAAACTTTGCCCGATTTCATTACGTAACATCCTTCGTTTGTGGTCAAACTCATGGTCACCCGGAGTAGAGCAACGGGTTTCGATGAGTTGCAAGGTGCCTGAAGAAACCCAGTGCATATAAGCGGGATGTTTCGCGAAGCTGCAAGCGGCTCTAATCGCCATTTTCATGGCGTCATCAAGTTGCAACCAATGCTCATTTTTGCTTTTCGGTGGAATGGTAGCTAGCCTAGAAGCTAGCTCGGTTCGATACTTACTTGCAACAGAAGTTGCAACCAGCTTGCTAACATCAATCCGTTGATGGCGTTCACTTCGTTGTCCACTGAAGAGTAAGGCAAGATTGGCGCAGACCAAGGCATGATCAGAGTCCAGATAGGTACTCCAAAAGGAGCGGCAGTCTTGTACACAACCACGTCAGCGGTAGCTGATCGCGATGTGATCAATCTGAGTCCAGGCTTGGGATGCAGAGGGAGGACTCCAGGTGGCACATCGGCGATGACTGTGCCGAAAGTTGATGCTAGCCAGAAACAGGTTGTTGTTTGTGCACAGTTGCAGTAGACGGCCCCGTTATCTGTCCTGCGACCAACAAGTCCCCATCGGCCACCTAAACGACTCTCTTCTGTGCTTAGGCGCCGGTCCTGAGCATTCAATTCTCCGGCTAGTACCATAATATCTGTCGAACTCACTTTCTGGAGAAGAACAGATAATTGGTGGTAAAACTCATCCTTGATTGCATCCGGGCTGCAATCTGTCGAGGCATAGGCGGAGATGACGAAAAGACATCGTTTCTCACGCCGATTTCTTCTCACTTTGATGGAACTTTCTAATCTAACAGCACATAACCGACTGTTAATGGGGATCCAGTCGACTAGTACTGCCTCAGCTCTAGCGCTTAGTGCGACACCAACGCCAGCAAGACCAGACGAAGATGCCACAGGGTCCCCGGATAAGCGCACGTAAAACAAGCTTTTCGAAGCAACAGATGGAGATCGAATTTGTAGTACTTCGCTAGAGTCTTGAATACGGGTCTCGGATAGACAACAAACATCAATATTAAGACTTTCCAAAGACATAGCCAGCCCTATCTGTTGTCCGACCTGCATAAATATGCGAACGTTGATGGCAGCCAGTTTGAATGGTGCTCGTGGTTTCAGAAAAACTGCTTCAGTATTCGTATTTGGTGGTAATATACAATTTTCAACCGGATAGTGGCTGGAGAATGTATAGATAGAGTCGAATTTCCACCAAAGACGAGCTGCTGTATTAGTCGAAAAAATAAGTATGGACAGAGTAGGAATAAAAGAGAGTGAGTAAATGAAGTAGTAAATAATAATAATAATAACAACAGAAATAATAGTTATGTGAGTCATTTGATTGTTATTCGAAGCAAGAAGAATATTTTCCACAAATAGACAGTTCATCATATTTTGTGTGTGAGCTGTAATACTGCCCTAGTGCCCAGACCGACGCAGGTGGTTATCTTAGGGGGCCACATCCTGGGTCTTTGACTTAAAGGACTGACCAACAAAGCAGTGGAGAATCGTGAGGAGATGCAGTCCCATAGTAGCCGCTGACCAACAACTGGTTCGTACGCCACTTGTTCCCACAAGATAATGAAGCCCATGTGCACCACTGGTTTGGGATGTGGTTAAAGCGCCGGGCATTCGCTTTTCTTCATCTCATTTTCGCAAACAACATCCCCGCCACGAGAAGGCAGTGAGTAGGACTGCCCTGCCTATGAGTATTACCGATGAGGTTATACCAGGAGGTGTGAATGGTTCATTACTATTTATCCTTTTCATTAATGATGTATGCTTTTAGGCTCATTTCGGTATTAGTACACTTGACTTTGCTAACCCTTTCAAGACAGTCGATGTTTCTTTTTTGTTGATGACCTAAAATTCGTCTATTAATTCTCGCCTCTTACCAATGAAAGCTATATTTCAGCGGTAACACTAGAGGTCATAAATCAGTTTTACGAATGGACTGTGTCGCGGAATGTGTCTGAATTTTTACAAAAGTAGATTTACTTACAGTGGTAGTAGATCTAACCTAAATCTGGGTGTAAACAAATATACACTGAAACATCTTAGCACTGTTGATGACACAGGTTTGAGCTATAGCAACGGTTTGTACTTTGCTGAGCACATCGAATGTCAAGTATTCAAAGCAAGAAATCCCAGCGGATTTAACTCGTGGCTGTGACCCTGAGTTGGTTTCATATCCTACTGAGAAATCCTATTGCAAGTAAGACTTGATAATCACACCAAATATTAGTACACTTGTGACTTTAAGAATGTTATAACAATAAAAACGAGTTATAGTATTAATGACGCACAAAGCCAGTTAGTTTTCGAACACAGAGTTTTCCTTAATAAATTTTAAAGCTACACAGAATCCTAAACCTTCAGCTTCTTTTTTATCATATTCACTCAGATAGTTATTTGTCCATTCATCGCAATCCTGTGGCTTGTTTTCTTTGACCCGATGAGATATATTTGCTTAGACATCGACCTTATAAAAGAAAATGGCTCTAAGTATTCATACCCTAATTGTTCGTCCGCAAATGACAAGAATTAACTAGTCATAAACACTGTCTGTTCTGCTTCTCACCATTTACTTCACTCTTTTTCAGTACTCTCTTGATGTACCACCGAAAACATTGCAGAACGTATGTCTTTGTTCCGCGTCGTCACTTATACCCCCAGAATTTATCTGGAACGATCACCTGGAAGCACAAACTAATATGTTTGCAACCCAGATATTTTAGAACAAGGTTGATCATCATCTCGTTCTACATTACAGAAGCAACAGTTTTCAGAAGTTTAGACGAATCGATGTATAAATGGGATGTCCAGTTCTTCATGAACAGGCACCACAAAACAATTCAGGTCAGTTGAAGACCTGGGTAATGAAACTGTATCAAAAATGTGAGTGGGATTTCAGAAAGGAAGAAGAAGAAGACAGCAATTAACAATGGTAAAAGAAGAGCAAAGAAAGCCAGGGCAATGATCAAATACCTTGTACCAATCAGTAGAGTGAAAATGGGCATTAGAACCGACATGAGAAAATGCGTGAAAGGCTTAGCAACTACAGCAGAAATAAGTGCAAGAGAAGGGGATACGAGACAAGTACATGATACAACAAAAAACAGGCAGTAAAACAAGGAAGATCCAATGTCGAAAACTTACAGAGCTATTTATTTTGGGGATTTATTTACCGCTACAACATAGCAAACAAGAGCGACCAGTCAAGAATAATGACGGAACAAGCCTTTACTTGGAAAACAAAGTAGGAGATGAGAAGACCAAGGAACAGATTGAGTCTGAAATCGGAGAAGGACTTCAGAATAATGATTAGGAATTGGAAAAAAACGGGGTCTTGGAGTCTAGGACAGAGTTGGTTGTAGAATCCTGTTGAGCAGTCTATTCTCTCACGGGAGATAACAGGAGTATGTAACTAACTAAGTGAGTAAATAGATAAATAAATTTTACAGAAAATGTTAATTCCATGACATCTGATGACATATTCGAAGGAAGTCCGGGAGATGTGGTTTCACAGGTTTTTGACTAATCTATTTGGAAAGTATAGAATCAAAGAAATCAAGTGACGAACGAATCATTCTAATGTTCTCAGTTATTTTGTACACCTTCGTGGATTTACCCGAAATGATTCCTAAACTGTATGATGTTCATTTTAGTATTTTCTCAATTTTTCTTTGAAACATGTTTTCCTTCTATCTGTGTTGGTCTATCTGTGCTCGTCCGTATATTTTATTCGTCATCTGTTTTTTTATATTTATTCGCTAAGGTGAACAATTCGGCTCAAGCCATTTCCTTTTGGTTCTTTCTATTTGAAAATAGCCAAAATAGGGACAGGGAAATCTGAATTCATTACATTTCATGGTTTCGCTTCAGCTGCATACAAACTTATCGTTAGTGATTAAATTCACCTGTTATTTTATAACGTTTTTTACGCGATCTTCACTAAACTAATCGTTATTTTATCTACGTCAAATTATGTTTCCATTCATTTATGTTTCACCAGCTCGATTTTCAGAACTTATTTAGATTCCTCAGACCGTCTTAAATCATTGAGTAACTCATCTCATTAGTTCCCAGACTCCATAGAATAACTACATCACAACCTCGATGTTTTTGAGTTTTATCTCCAAATAACCTCGCATATACTTATTCGTACATGCGTATAATTATTGTCGATAGTTGTTCTAATTTCTGTTCTTTCCGTCAGCAATGTCAATTACTTCATACTGTGCTCGAATGTTATACTTTAATATGTATACGGTTGTAAGTAGCTGAAGCGAGACCATGAAATACAGTAAGTTCATTTTATTTCCCTTCAAATGTTGTTTTGACTTTTTTCAAATTCATAATGAGAAACAGATGTACGAAATTTTTGACAAACGGTTCCATGATTATTTACTTGAAAAATATTATTTCAACCTAATTTCGTCTTCGACTTTTTTAATTATGCAGTTGTCGGAATCGGGTCAACCGAGGTATTCTCTATTAAGTCATATATTAAAAATGTATTACAGCATAGCCAGTGAAGTATTCAAGAGTTACTGTTATCTAATACTAAAATTTACAGTAACTTGTTTGCTCATTATCAAGCATATTGTTATATACTATTGGCACAGATAATTTTAGTCACTTAGCTGGTGCCTATAAAACTCTATTGTAAAGTCAAAGGTTAACCTGTAAGTATTCAGTCATATTCATTATGTATATGTTATGTATAGCATAAATGATATAAAGTTTATATGATCAGAATAAACATCACTGATAAATGATTATTATTGTTCCAATAGATGTCTCTTAATCGTATTATATGCATCATCTTACATGCTTGTCAGTATTTCATCCTCTGACCACTAGTAAATTGATATCATTCAACCTAATATTTTCATAGTTTTTCAATCGAAAGTTTGGTATTTTCTTTGTATGAGTAGTAGGCAAAAAGAAGTAAAAAAATGTGATATTACATAAAATCATCAATGATGTTTTATTTGAGATTCATGAAAATATTGATGATATAAAAAGCTGGTTAGTAGAAGAATCTAATGAATAAAATGTAAAATGATATTTTGTTTTTATATGTTTGTATCAGTTTACAAAGAATTTATAATTCACTTTAGCTATCATATATTTTATTATTATAGAAATATAATTAACATGTTATTTCTGTCAAGATGCTTACATTGTAACCACTGTTAAAGCATTATACTTCCTAAGCTCCATAGTTTCATTACAAAGTATATCCGTTCCCGTTCAATATGTTGGTATAATTGTTTACACCCTTGTTAATCATTGTGTAACTAACATAATCTTATGTTTTATTGAAGAATATTTATTATCAGATTATTAGTTTCTTCTTATGAAAAAAATAGAAAACAAAACAAAAAAAGAGATTCATTTTACTGATATCACTATTACTGTAACTTTATTATTGATTAAATTCCATGAAATATTTTACAAAACAAATAATAGTCTACATTATCATTGCTCACTATTATTATTTAAACATGGATAGAATTGAAATTCACACCATAACAACAATCATCTCTCATAATATACACTTTATTTCTATTATCTTATCTATGTGATATTTGGATGCATAATATAAAGTTTTATTGAATATTTATTATCAAACGAACCTTATATATATACAACCAATCTCTTCAGGAGTCCATATAATCAGTAGACAAACATAGAAAATAAATTGATCAATTAACTGAATGTATATAAGAAGCAAACAAACAAACAAACAAACATAACTATTTGGTAATAGTTTAAAAATGATTCATAGGTAACTGGATTATTGATTTTTTTTTATGAGTAAATATGAAGAATAAATAACTCATGTTTCTTTTTTGTCAAAATTTGTACTTCAAATTTTTATTGATAATAATCAATTTATTCTCTCACTCGCTCTCTCTCTCTTACCCTCCTCTTTTACTGTCGACTCATAAAAACACACAAATTCAATTGAAATAAAAGAAACAAAATAAAAACAACTAAATTTTTGTTAAAATCCGATTAGTGCATCTCTTTGAAATGTATTCACATTTCTAATGTATATTGTATGGTATTTCTGTATATATAGTAGTATATGTCATTACAGAAATAATTTGACATTTACCATTATAACATAAGGTATTCATTGTATATATATACGTTCTATTGTGTTATAAGATGACCGCATACAATGCATATTGACTCTTGAATGATTTATTATTTAAATGATGATTTGGAATTTATGAATAGATGCTTTATTAAAATGACAGTTAATGAACAATAAAGACAAATCATACGCATATCAATGAATATATATGTCAATTTAATAAAATTATTAAAAAATAATATTCAATATTATCATTATAAATTATAACAAACAAACAAATAAACAAACCAACAAATGATATACAATACAAAATCAATAACCAACCTTATTTTTTTTTGTCTCAAAAAGAAAGTTTAGAAACAATCTGGGAATGTGTCACTAAAAGAGTGATAAAAATGTAAACAGGTAATAATTGAACTGAAACTATGTTCAACATTGTTACCATAGTAATAATAATAATAATTATAATTATTATTATAGGTACTCAGGTACACATGCAGACATGAGAGCATATTTTGAAAACAAAAATATAAGTAGCTAATAAAAAGCTAAATAATTATGAAAGAGACGAAATGTTAATCGAATATAATTTCAATGTTTAATAAGGATATGTAAGTTAGTGTGATTGATGAATGTCATTGAATTGTTTGTATATTTGGAATTCTGTTCCTTACATAAATTGAATATATTTTTTTATTTTTAAAATATATATGTAAAGTAAATAAAAGATGAATATAGATTATTTGATAGGAATTTATAAGCTATAATATCCTATACTCTAAACTTTCGAAAATGCTGTCATAGCAATACGATAAAAATCATAAGGTTTATAGTTTATGTGATTTATTTGAAAAGATTTTATGAAATATATTGAGAAATCTCTGAGTAAGATAAAGAAAAGGAACGTTATTTGCCTAATGAATTTTGTCAGAGGTCTTTTTGTTTAAATGAATTCTCATGATATGTTATGATGATAGTGATATGCGTTTATAGGACTATAATAAAATAAAGGAAAGCTACCTGGATTAATAATACAAATAAAATGAGAGAAAAACTTATTCATAGTTATAAATAGTAAACATAATGATTGAAATGTTTAACGGTATGGTTTAACATAATTCGATGGAAGCATTCCAAATTTTCCAGTTCGTTGAACAGTACCATACATCCAACCTTCGGTTATAGGTGCACCATTCACTATAATATCACCAGATTTGAAGGTCACTTCATCGTCTTCTCTAGCTTCGTAACCATACTGTGCTACAAAAGTCTATAAAATAACAATAATATGCTTTAATTATACTGCTCATTCATTGTTCGATTCTATAATGAAATTCATATCAATAATTTTGTAGTATAAGCATCATAAATAGATAAAAAGCTGAACATGAATTTGTAAGTTTAAAAAGTGCATGGTACGATGCATGTCTGTTAATTTGTAGCTCATCAGCCTCAAAATGTTCGAGATAAGTGCACTATGTAGCACTTTCCCTTTCTTTTAATTATTGAATAATGTTTAAAGGAGAGTAATTTTCACTGAGAATTTCATTTCAAGCTCTAATTCTCACTTTGACTATTATTTCATCCGGCAAGTTGGAATGCGCTACAGCAGCGTGTTCAAAAAAAGATATATGTAGGTAGTTTTTAATCATTGAAATGAAGTGTTCAATGAAAATTACACTCCTATCTGCAGTACTAAAGGAACGTTATATACTTGAAAATTCTAGGTATTTCACTTTTATTGAACAATAAACAGGATAGTTATCTTCATCCGTGTAAAAACATTCAGTCCTGTTCCAGGATATTGATAATGAAAACTTACTGTGACCGCAAAAATCATGACTTTCATGTTTGGTTATGGTAATGTTAATATGTGTATAACTGAATTTCAATTTTATTATCAGCTAACTAATGCTAGGATACAAATTTTCATTTAATATTGTTGATGATATTAGTACAATGAGATGTGTAGTAAATTAGTATACATATATGTTCTCACTTGCTTATAAAAATATGCGATTCGATAAGTGACTTAGAAGTTTATACACTAGGGTTTTAACTATAAGTACAGATTATTAGAAAGAATGATCGACAGTTTATTTCGGTCAATAATGAATTTCTGAAAACAGCAGGATACTGTTAGCTTTCTAATAAGTATGTGTGCCAGTTGTAGGCTGATAGCATCACATTTATAATGGAATTATTTAGTGAAAATCAAAATATCAATGAAAGTCATAATTATAATATAAATAAAGAAAATATTCTAACATACCCCACCAAATCCTGAATTTTGGTGTGTATGACCATGAAAGCTATCATGAAAAAATAAAAAAAGGATTACATTTTTAATAATACTTAAATATTCTTAATCATTGTGAAGCAGAATATGATGCAATAAAATTTGTTCACACAGATAAATAAACTAAAACAGCCTAGGTAACGATTGCTGGGTAAATTATGATAATGGTATGACGTCATTAATGGTTAAAGGCAATTGAGAGAAAATCCTAAGTTCATGATAATTGGCACTGGTTAGTAAGGAGTAGATGTAACCACTAAATAACTGATTCATATGAGGGTATTCAAATACGTCACCCAGTGTAACACTCAAACACGGGATGATTCAACTAATCAAGTTTAAAATGGTCTCCTGTATGGTCAAGTAAAAGCCAACATCGCGTATGTGTTCGAATCATCACAATAACACCTGTTGGTAGAATGAACTGACTTTATTGTTTGACCTTTTTACAATGGAATTTTCTTAATTGCTTAAGGATCAATAATAAGGAGTTATCGAAATAGGTTAAATATTTAGAACAAGCTTGATATATCATGCAAAGTATATTAATCAGGGGTGTGCTACTTTATTAATTATAACTGAAGTTTTAAAAAGACTGTTGGCTAAAACTACCTATGTAACAAAGGTTAACCAGTCATATGTCCAAAGATTAAAAAAAACACTCAACAAGGATGTAAAGACAAGTGAAGCTGACAAAATCCCGATAAGACCACTAATAATGTCATCATAAAACACTTCTAAACAGCTCACTTCTACATGAACTGAGTGTTGATAATGTCGTCCACAAAGACAACCAAAGCTTCATTACCAAACCATTCGGCTTATAAAACATAAGTCAAATAAATATGTAAAAAACAAACTGTTATATTTTGACAAAGAATAAATAAGTGGTAACTGCTAGGAATTATTTATAGACTATTAGTACACATATTTCTGTTGCATGACTATCAATTACCTAACTTATATGTATATTCATTTTCCTTTGAATAACAGCTTCTATTTGACCCACTGATTACGATTATACGACTTACTATTCCTAATTTACTCATGAATTAATAGTTATAGTCTCTCACACACACAGCCATTTTTGATTTTATATTGTATAATTTTTATTTTCTATTTTACGGTATGATGCGGTGTGATTTGCTTGTATATAAACTACAAATTTCCCAAATACATGATCCATACAGTGGAGATTGATATTGATGTTCTGGGATGAATGAGATGGGATAGGCCTGAAAAACCAATAAAGACTCAGAGTTGACTCCAAGCTGCTCGAACTGGTCAACACGTCATTAGTTTGATAGAGTGGCAAGGTCATAAGAGTCTGTGTTTTAATTGGCGATTAAGTCACGTGACAATTAACAGGGCAAGAGTCATAACAGAAACAATTGACTTACTTTAGGTTAACCGTCGAACCTCTAGGTATATTGATAGTTTCTGTAGAACCTACATTGCCACCAGCAGTGTTATTGTTAGTTCCTGGAGGAAGACCTGAAGAAACAATTAGTTGTGTAGAAAGAAAGGAAATCTTGTTCTCATTTGTAATTTATAAAATTATATCAGAAATAAACTAAGATTGAACGCTAATTTAATGGTTAGCAACAAATTATATATATAGTATACTAACTATTGGTACTAGGGAGCTTTTAAACTGGTGAGACCATGAAACTTACAATGTACAAGATAATAAAAATTGGAGCTTATAAATATTTAGCATTTAACATGAGTTAAACGCTATTTCAGTTATGTTTATGTAAAAAAGCATCTATTTATTTCTATGGAATAGATGGTATGTAGCTAGCAGTGGAATATAGGACGCGCATTCCGTTCTATTCCAGATTTGTTGGTTTTATTTTATTTTCAGATAAATATACTAAATTTTCTGTAATAATTTATTTTATTGAAATAGTCGACACTCTAGGTACATTTCAAGTTAATTATTAGTATGCACAAGTCATTAAATATTGAGAATAATGAAGGAAATTGAATCCAGAACTCCTAAAGTATTGTAAAAGGTATACACTCTTGTGAAAACAAATTTTTTTGCTGAATAATAACTGAGGTGTAGTTAAGCAGTTCATAAAGTCGGTCAAGTAATATTAATAATGATATCTTATTAATTTAGTTGTAACTTTTGAGATTGTACAAATCAGTTAACAAGAACTCATACTTTTAACGGAGCATTAAATCTCTGTATATCGAAAATTTACCTTGTTATCGCCCATTTGTTAGTTGAAATTATCGAAAAACTAAGAATCACTTGCTAAAATATTAGGCCAAAAGGCAATTAATTTGTAAGGTACTCGATACATCATTGGCAAAAGCTTGTTTAACAATAATGTTTTCTATAGGTATCATTACCATGGTTTGACTTGATAATTTCGAATAAATTGAGCATTAGGTAGAATATCCACTTCTTCAGAAAATAAATAACCTGAAGTGGCTTGCACTGAGTCACGAAGCTTCCGAAAATCTCATTTTCCCACTCATTGGAATGTTGAAAATATATTATCTTATTTACGATGTTCATTGTAAGTTAAATCACAAAATGATCTGAGTTAGACCGTTATAGAAAATCAGGAAACACTGAACGGCCATTTAGTCGTAGTACGGGATTGCTCAGCAGTGCTCATCCGTCTAGCTACGATCAATTCATGACTTACACTATAGTATTCTGTAATCTATACAAATCCCTCAATACTAATTAAAATGTTTCAAAAAATGAATTTTCAATACAGTTTAAATAACATCTATGAATCTAAAAGTTTTTAAACAACTTCATAATGGTTTTAAATAATTGAAGAAGATTATTCAATTAAATTAAGAGTCATAATATCTGACATAACTATTTCTTCATCATTTTATTTCATCACAATCGTTCTTCTCACAGTTATAGGAAAAACCTACTGATACTTTGTGTTTATTATTATCATCAGTTGACCTTTCCCAGTCGCTTACGCATGCATATATTAGCTTAATAAGTAAGTGAATAAAATGTAGTAACACATGGCTTTTGGTGCCTGAATACTTCTATCAGAGAGTGAAGCTGCATAACTGTTGTTATAAAAAGACTGGGTTGTAATCTTGTTCTCCTGAACGGAAGAATAACGATAAATGATCTTCTATCAGGGTATATGTATTATATAAATGCTAGTGAAGAGGATCATTTAATAATTAAAACGCTCAGCGCTCAATCTCAAGTACAAACCGTACTCCATCTATTTCAATATCGACAGACAATCAATATAACGTCGTCACACAAATCGTACAATGTAAAATAAATTAAATAAAAGTTGTGTTTGATGAGCTACACTGGAAAATATAATCTATGGTATTAAAAATATAACTTCATTTTCTTATTATTAACGTTAATTGTAATTACCGAAAAAAACAAAATACGAATGATAAGCATAGTTTCAATATAAATATTGATGAATCTAAGTGAGATGACACAAAAGAATTGGAATGAAGCTTGTAAAAGAAATAAAGCAGTTTTAATGAAATCTGTTAAAATGTTCATCAGGTTTGGAAATCATTACCGTGTTTTATCAGTAGTTTAAAAATCCCCATAGAATATTCAAAAATGAAGAATATTTGAGCGAACAATTGTTTTTAGTAACTTCATCATCAGGCTCTACAGTTATAAGTGGATAATTATAATATTTTACAAAGGCCAAAAATAAGGTATGTATTAATGAATTTGACAATGTTGTGTTAAAAATGGTAAACGTTTGCATCTGTTACGATATATATATATACTTCAAAATTGTATTATTTGCTCTTCCATGTGTGTATACCAATTCAACTGCTCCTGTGGAGCTAGTTACATCGGCCGTACTCAGAGGGCTTTATCCTTGCGTGTTCGTGAACATGTACCAGCTTGGTTGGGAAAAGGAGTTACTGAATCAATTAACAGCACCATTCTTTCTCACTTGGTAGATAGTGAACATCATATCAAAATAGAGGAAGCTTTCGCTGTTTTATATAAAGTTCCAAAATATCTACCTCACGGAGTTAGATTATGACTGCTTTACATAGCCGAAGCCATCTGGATCAACTCCAGAAGACCAAATTTATGTATCCAGAAAAAATATATCCAGCCTCTTTGTTTACGTTGGCTTACGACTTGATCACCAAATACCTCGACTGAATATTATAAACCTCTTACCCCCTTCCTTCATTTTTATTTATTTAATTTGTCCTTATTATCATTATTTTTGATTATCTCTATCTTAATCTTCAGATCGATCATTCCCAATTCGTTTATCGTAATTACCTTGATAACACCCTCCTTATTACATATTATATTCACACAACAATCTTATTATTATTCTCTCAATTGACAAGATGACATTCTCCTACTTTGCATTTTTATATAACATTGTCAAATTCATTAATACATGCCTTATTTTTGACCTTTGTAAAATATTATATTTATGGACTTATAGCTGTAGAGCCTGATGATGATGTTTTATTAGTATTTAAAAAGCGAAAAACCCACTGATAGATTACGATCAGATTGCGATAAGTTACTGACGAATCTTTTCATTTCAATAATGTCAATTAGTATCTCTGTCCATCTATATTTACTGTAATTCAAAATACCTCAATATATAATTAACATTTTTAGGTATCACATCATTATTAAAGTGATGACAATATGTTCACCAGGTGCTAAGCAAAAATCACGTAATCTGAGAAGGGATATTGAGTAACGGTAAGGTGAAAATCGATTATATGTAAGAAGTATGAAAGAAAATCATTTAATTAATGCGCATTTTAAAAAAACTGAGGTAAAAATGAATACAAGGTAATAGATTGTAAGAGTAGAAAGGTGATTTTTAGGACTAATGTGAGATGAATGAAAAAACGAGTCATTTATGAACGTTCAGATCAAGTATAGAAAGATGTATTGTTAAAGCTTCTGCTGTGAACAGGCTCTTGAGTTAAATTGAACTAACCTTGAAAATAGTATTTATGATGGTAGGTTGCTGGTTAATTAGATATTTGAGAACAGAACTACTGACCTTTTTACATTCATCTGTCAATAAATATTCAGATTTGTGGTCAGTGTTGATTATTGGAGACGAACACTTGTTTGGATGTTTAATTATGACTAAAACTAAACAACTTTGTTGGATTAGCTTAAGAAAACTTCATGAATTCAATCATAGTCTATCAACATACCATCTTTATCAGTATGATTACATAGTGGTGTAAAATTTTCAAAATCAATATTCTTTAGAATAGTTTCATTATTTCTTTGTCTAGTATAATATTGACACTTCCGAAATCAAACTAATAAACGTTTAGGATACTAATAACATTAAAATCAGATTCCAATCACACAATACACTTGTCAATCTATATATTACGTTTTTCTTGTCATATTTATAACATGTGTAAATACCTTTATAGTTGGCTCAAAATACATCTCATAAGCATTTTGGAAATGTGAGGTTTTTATAACATGAATGGATTGTTATTTTCTGTGCATGAAATAGGTAATATGAGAAAAATTGCGAATTTGTTTCTTTAAAAAAAACTATTTTTGCACTACCCCCCATGGTGACACTGATTACGCTGGATTTCATTTAAAAAATATTTAACAGAGAAATAATCAATAGTCTTAGGGGGTTAATAAACATTTTTCAAAAAAATATTTAGAGTACTGAAGATGCTTATATGCTACTTATATTATTAGACAGTATGAAAAAACACGATCATGTTTTCTGGCTAAAGTGAACAAATTTAATGTAGATAAATCACTTCCTGGTTTTCAGTGGTTATTTAATGAAGAATAGTCGATTATATAAAACTAAAATATTTTACAACATTTATTCCATGATAAAAACAATTCCATATTGCAGTCGAATTTTTTAAAACGAATATATATAAGGCTAGATATCATAATCCATATTTAACTATTCCTACGACCTTAGCTTATCGTTTCATGCATAAAGGGGTCAAAAACACTAAGTTATAATGATTGGTCAGTTCGAGATTAAACCCTGATAAAATAGTTACGATCATCATCAGTAGTTATGTGTATCCACAATCACGTAACTAGCGTTGAAAATCGAATTCAAATCCATGACACCTAGTGTCATGTTCAGGGACGACATCACTCATTTATGTGGATAACATTTTACCGTTTGTTGTGCTGGGATATTCACAGAAATTAATCACTGAGAAGGAGAGATGATTGTATTTGTCTACTATTGACTACTGGTTAACTCTGTTGATAGATATTACTGTCTATGTAATCTAATAGTGCAATAAATTTCAGTTTTTGAATGATCTAACTCTGTTCTATTAGGAAGAAGACCCCATCATGTTAGAAGTAAGTGATGAGAGTCACAGATGTAAATATTAAATCTTTCTGATTACGGTTTGGAATAACTTGAAATTACGGCGATTTAGTTAAACTAAAGGTAACTTGATTTAATTGGTTAGAGGTTGTTATTTTATTCAAATAAATTTGTTATTGTTATATTATGAAAGATATTATGCAACTAACAACAAAGAGTTTAGAATGAGAAACTATTGCTATTAAGATTAAATGATGACCAACCCCATATTGTGAAATGAATGACTTCAAAGGTGTTGATCGACAGTCTGAAAATATCATACTCTTCATGAGAGACTTGAAGGTTTTAGGTTCTATTCTATTTGAAGTTGTGTGTGCATACTCCCATTAAGTAGCTGACTCGAACAAAACAACTTTTCTTCGATTCGTGGTTATTGTTGGCTTTTAACAGAACATTTATTTGATAGAGTAAACAATAACACTGCCAAAGGTTTTTTCGATCTTAACATTTTAAATTTTAGTAGTCATGATTGAACAACGTAACGGATCCCAACGGAGCTTTCAGCTTAGAAAACATGTCACTCGAAGCATGCATTTTTCTCAAACAGTCCATTTCAAATAAAGTACCTACAGGATCTCTGAAAGCCAATTTCTAGAGAAGCTATAGTTATTCTAAGTTAATCAGCTGAATGATCTAGAATTATACACTGCTTTAACACAACTTTAGTAGATATTCGTCGATAAATTAGTGGTTTTACAAGTCAAACATGCCACTTCATTGATATATCAAAATTTGAAATAAAATCTCACTATATTTATACCGTTTTTTATGCCTTACCTGTAGGAGTAATAATAACTGAATGACAAGAACCAGAACGACTTAGTCCATTATGATTTGCCGGTGGTGTATGCCCTTGATCATAATGATGATGATGATTGATTGGATCGATTTTAAGATGACATCCACCACTATTTGACAGTGATCTAGAATTTATGCCTAGAAAAGATGTCATTTTATAAATACATGAATAGATATATTTCAATAATAAAGTGTAAAAATAAGGGAAACCAAAATTAAGTATTTTAATATGTGTATTGGGTTATTAAAAGTTATTACAGTAAGGTTTTCTTGACACAAACGATATTACTCTTTAAATCACTAACTAATCTTGTCCTTTTCGATTCCTACTGACTGTCCAGTAAGAATGGTGTTCACAGTTGTAAACATTTAATTTTTCAGATTACAGTTTTGATATTAAGACACACACAAAGAATTAGTAAATGTTTTTTTATCTACCTCATCATCTGTACAAGATGCTTTCTATTAGATTACATTTTCTCAGGACGGAGTAAATAAACTTGCAAAGAAGTTGGACAGAATATACTTTGATCAGTCTACACATGTAATAGTCACTATAACAGTGACTAGTATATTGTAATAATCTGAAATAACTTCAAAAGCATTGTATGAGATGATTAGTACAATCAAAAAGTTTCTATTCTTGAACCTCTCTTTTGAACATGTATGATGTTTTCGATATTTATTGTTTAATACAAGTCCATGCTACTATAAACAGTCATTATTTATAAAAACAACCAAATTATAATAAACAATAATGAAAATAACCGTTATGATGATAAAGATCACATGAAAAAAATAATGTCAACTTGTATCCATCAAATTGTACCTGACGAATTTGAAAAAGTATGAGGTGAAGTGCAATGATTGCTTAATCCAAATCGAGTAGGTGGTGGTGTATAACTATTGTAGTATGAAGCTACAATTAACAAAATTAAAGAAATAAGATAATTCATATTGAATGACTGGTTTTTGTGAGTGTAATTCCTACGACACTTATGTATATGTAGTTTATGTATTACTGATTCTGAAGCAGTTACTATCGGTATTAAAGTAACCCTCAGAAAACTAAAAGTCGCACTGTTAAGAACCGTCGACATCAAATTTGATAGTTGTATCATAGAAAAAATGTTGATTATTTTATGAACTGTAATCAACTTTTCCTTTAAATTTTATTTTGACAAATAACAAGTTTTAATATCTGACGAATAACTCATAATAATAATCTTCACAACTCCTATACTGATAATTAACATGTGCTCACTAATGACTAGCTTCGTGAGGGAATTCTTGGAGTTCTAATGAGAAGCCGTGAACAGTGAGGCAAATCCGTGCCGGGTAGAGACAGGTGTCTACCTCAGTACGATGGAAGATGGTCGCGCGATTTCATGGATTGGTTGATGTTAGACACTAACACCATTGGATGCTGGCTCATTGGTTCAGTACGTTAAGCGTTCGCGCGCGGGACTCATGGCCATGGGTTCGAATCCTGCGAGCGGGATCGTTGATGCGCACTGCTGAGGAGTCTCACAATAGAACGGAACGGCCGTCCACTGCTTCCGGGTTACCAACGGTGGTCTAACATCAATCGGTTCATGATCTCAATCCAAAATAAAACATCCGTTCAAACTTTAAGTACTCCTAGAAAGACTGCGTACGATGAGATTGAAGTAAAAATGAAATTACATGTTGGGATTGAGAGGGAGTACATTTACTTGTCGGGAAAACATAAATGTGAAAGCAGATATTATTTATGGTGAATTAGTCGAAATATGATAAACATACAGTTTGTAAGTTTCATCAATCTGGTACTTCGACTAGCATTTTAGCCTTGAAACAGTCATTCAAATTCTTATTATTAGCATTCGTGTATAAATTAACGTTGATTATAGTATCATGAGTGTTACTAAATTCAATTCATCTAACTAAAGTATGAGATCGAAATATCACTTGGATGACTCTGATGAATTCCTATCAAAATGGAGTCCGATTAGGAAGATGATATGTAGTTGATATTTGAGAATCTATTGTTCCTAAAATTTACGATACTTACATTGATAATTAGATTTAATAGAACACAGCACTATGGGCTTTGCTTGGAATCTAAGATGTGTTTATGTAGGCATTAAGATTTTTAAATATTCTATGTGGCTGGGGAGATAGAAGAATATATGTGTGAGCATGTAACCATGCTTATGCATTAAATCAGTGAGAATTTTTCAAGACTCTCCAAATTTACCAATCCATGAGTAATTATTTGAAGAAACGAACCTGATATTGGACGACCAAACAAAAATAGAGAACTAAACAGGTTCATAATCTCAATTTTTGGGTGCGGCTGTAATTTTGTTGTATGGGTCTCAAAGGCGTTCATATTAATAGAGACCTTTAGTCGAGATAATTTTGGATATCTTGAACACAGTAATAAAATAAAGACTTTCTATTGATTTAAAAAAAAGTAGATCAGACTGATGCATATTTTGTTGAGGCATGTAATTATTAGCTAAACCTGTATGGTTAAATGAAAAATTCAGTCATGTCTTAAGACTAGTTAGCATGATATTTATTATCACCACTAGACTTCATAGTTCACTAAATGACTTACAACTATAAGTTAACATCCTTCTAAATAACACAATGATTACAGTGAATGTCGTAGTAACTAGAGTACTTCTAAGTTTCGTGTGTTGTACTATTTCCTATAATTAATCATTTATTAACAGTCATTTGTGCCGGTGATTTAAATCATTATTTATTTATAAAAGTGTAAATGTATGTAAATAAAAACAACATACTACTACGTCCATATGATTGTGGTGAGCAGCGTTCATCAAATCCAGAGCTTCGTCCAGAACGAACACTGTTTGCCTTATTTAAATAAAAATTTTATACAAAAAAAAGAAAACATGTGTATATTCAAAATAAATGAGGTCATGGAGTCAGTGGTTAAACATAAGGAATACAGTTTTATTTCAGTTATAATTTTAGCGCGCATATAAATCAACAAAAATGGTGATTTGAAAATGATAAATATAGGCTTCTAAATTTAACAGTGTGCAGTTTAAGACTACTTTTTTTGCGAAGCATTAGAAAGAAAGCAGATACGTGATAATTAAGTCGTATTTATCAAATAGTTTATTTCCAGCCAGAATGTATAAAAGTTTAAATAACACTTTAAAAGGATTCAGCAGTTTACGAAACGATATTGCTTCATGATAACTATCTTCACAACATGTAGATCTCTCAAAAGAACACAATAAGTAACAATCACTTACTGACTGATGATTTCTTTCTAAATGAATTTTCTAAAACTGTAACCTGGAACCATGTCGATAGTGAAATTGTTACAAATGCTACCATGGGATAGAATCACATTCTTACGGTTAATTGACGTAAACCTAGATATACCTAATTTAATCTCATGTGCACAAAGCTAATTAGTGTAAGGTGGTTGGATGTAGTCAGCAGGAAACACTAAATCCAAGTTTCGTGATAGTTTGTATGCTTTAACTAGGTATGATTGCATTCTTGAGGACTGGTCTCCTATAGATCTGTCAAACGCTATCTGAATAGTTCTGTTTAACGTCTCAAACAGTGAAGCTAGATGGTTTGAGTTCGAATATCACTGGAAGCATCAAACCGCTTTTTTCCAATTGCCTCATGCTACTTAAATTCACAACACGGCGAAATGTTGAGTCATTCATATAAGAGACTATGTCAAAACCTATTAGATAAAATTCGATCGGTACTAAACGACTAGAGAAATAAGATTTTAGTCACCAGTTAGTGATAGATCAGTCTTAGTGTTGATTAGTTATACTATGTGACGAGACAGTTGTTCATTTTATTGCATTACCTGATGAATAAATAAATAATATTTTTGTAATATCCCAATGAGTAGAAAAATTGGATTTTCTGACGTTTCATGACTTAGTGCAATTCACTTCTTCAGAGAATGAATAACCAAATCAAAATTAATCTAATTTTAAATAGTACAACGGAACAATAAGAATAATATGTGATCAATCAAATATATTACTTATTTATAACAACCTACCCAATGCTCAACTTATTCAAAATTATCAAATCAAACCTTGGTAATGATACCTACAAACTCATTACCTGATGAGGATTAACTTTGCTGAAAATAGCAACAGTTGAATTTACCATCAGAAAAAAACCAAGTCATCACTAATATTTAACTATGATCTTTGAAAGTACTTTTTTTCTTGTTTAATACATTTGTTATTTAATTGTCAATTTAATGTCTTCTAAAGTTGTTTAATATTTTACAAATTAACTATAAACAAATCAGAACAACAACTCAAAATTGATTGAAAATAATACTTTAATTGTTATAGTTTTAATTGATGTAAGCGAATGTGTAATTTATAGTTTCCGCAACATTGTTTAAATAATTGCTAAATAAAATCCTAATAATACATGTATAAGTATTTAGATATACTTTGAAACTTTTTATTAGTGTGCAATGCAAAAGCTTTGGTGATTCTATACTTTGTGTGTGCGTGTTTTCTTCAGAGAAAGAGAACTTTCTTTTCATACTCTGTTATTCAGTCAAAATAGTTTTAATGTATGTCTGTGTGTATTATAACATAAAAGCGTTTTTGGATTCTATAGAGTAATCTATTCACAGTTTAGTATCACTAATTGAATTACACAAAAAAATTCAAGCACATGGTTATATCGGAATTCGCATCTGAAAAAATGTATGTTTTTTTCCTTTGGTCATAAAGAAATTTGTTTGAAAAGGCAATGAATACCGAAAAAGACAGATGCATAGTCTTCAAGACTAGTATTCGTATTATTATCACTATTATTATTATTATTATTATTATTATTATTATTATTTGTACATAAGCCTATTAAATGACAAAATACTCTGTTACGAAAGGTGTTAGTAGCAAAATTTATATATATATATATATAACAGTAAGCAAAATATGCATGATAAAGACAGACTCACATAAACTGATATACACTCAAACAAACACATTAAATTAAACAAAGGATGTTTGCTGACGAATGACCACACAGTTTAATAATTAGTACTACCGCTAGCTATGTAAATATTTACATCTTATGATTAGTAAAAATTGCACTTAGAATATATTGTACAGTATCTATCATTATTCTATTACATTATTTATAATGGTGAATTATTCATTGAAAAATAAAGAATAACCATTTTTCATTTCATTAAAAGTAGGTTCGGTATTCCACTGCGTGTTTTGGCTTCTGACGTTGTGCAAGTGAATAGTAGTACCATTTACTAAAGTAAAACTTTACTCGACAAGAAATCTACCGTTTCCTGGTACCTGAAACGTCAACACGCACGGCCACCGCTCATGAGACGAAAATAAAGCGATAACAATGTTACATAATTACAAAGTTTTCTATTTAAAAACTACCCATTATGCCACTATTCAACTAGTTATAATAAGTATATATCAGTGACATATGAGGAATTCGATTGAAAACAGTTAGAATAATATACCTTTCAGTTCATAATACTTATAAATTATAGAGAATTATGAGTGTGTAATGATAGATATCCATCCAGAAGAAGGGTAAATAGCTACAGTTGATAAACACGCCTCCTTGTAATTTAGTAATCAGTATAGGTAGATAGCATATTACTGAACTCACGCAATACAACTATGAAAATTATTATAAAGAACTTTCTTAAAAGTAAGCGAAAAAAGGTTGTTCATTTAAAACTGCAAAACATTCGTTGTCTACTTATTACGTTAAAACGCCATAACAATTTTTGACGTTTAAATGTTGTGAGATATACATCCAGTAAGTGGCTAGTAAAAAAATTGAAAATGTTTATCTTCTTCTTTTTGGGAGTCGTCAAATGGTTGTATATGCACTTTAGTGGTAATTTTCACAACTAGACTCGAATACTTAGGACATGAAGAATACTTTAGGTCACCTCGTTGACTCCAAACAAAACAATCTTTAATACCTTCCCATCCTTTTTAGCGGTACATACAAATATAAACTATATGACAAAAGTAAAACGATGTATTCATATGAAGATAATTAATCATTGTAAAATTGACCTCCTTCTCATCTTACTGTCTTATACTTCGAATTAGTTAAATTATCACTGTCTTATCCAATCATTTATAACAATACTAAACGTCATAAGGTAAGTATTTTGTACTTCTCGGTTAAGCATTTTCTTACTAGAGTTAAGGATTTAATGGAAGCAAAATCCTTTCATCATGTTAATCAAATTTTCTTTTATAACTGAAGATTTCCATCGAATATAATCGATTATGTCAAGCAAGAATAACAAACATGATCGCATCAAGTGAACAAATGTTTAAAAATTCTCACTAATTACTAAGCTTTAATAATAATAATAATAATAATTAAAATTTGTCTAAACAATAACAATTACTGAGTGATTGGGACATGTTTCATGATAAGTAATAAATCTTGGGCTTCAATAATGTACATTTACAGTATTTCAATAAAACTAAAAGAAGGATCATCTTTTAAAAAAACAGTGAACAATTTATTACGCTCCAGCATATTTTATTCATAACGATTATCTGCTAACAATATTCGGAATATATTAACAATAATTAAAACATCAAATGTTAAAACTCAAAAGACTTGCTGAAATCAAATAAATTTAAATGTAAGATCTGATCGTTAACACTATTTTATTCAGTTTTCTAAACTAAGATAATTATGCATTTTTATTATAGATTAACTGATATTGTGGTGTATGCTACCGAGGTCGATAGATATGAGCTATAAAAAGTGAGATGTTTGACGGTAGAAGGTTAAGAAAATCGAAGAAAAGAGAATGATTAGTGTGGAAATGAAGGGACAATGAAGTCTGAGATGACTGCTTGACATGTTACAAATGAAATGTTTGCTGTATAGTTCTTAGATTTTATTAAAAGATTCTTTAATTTTGTATTCAAACAAATTTGGTTGTCCCGCACTTGCGTTCATGTTCACTACAATATCAGCTGATTGTCAGTTAATTTGAAAATAATTCATATTTGATGAATAAGGGATTCTGTCTTTGTTTAAACTCTTCAATGTGTTAATTCTATGTGTTTATATATATATTTTTTTCCTAACATGACTGTGACAGTTACATTTATCTATTTCATCATCGGACACGTGAATAAATAAGATTATTACCTAGAGTCACATGTCCATGACACTTATCAAAACTATCATTTAAAGTATCATCGTATGTTGGATGAAACAAGTAAAACAAATGCTCAAAATTTAACTATCAGTTACATTGAACAATAACCATTACAGAATGATATATAAAAAAGGAATGTGAACTTCACATGATAAATAAATAAATAAATAGATAATATGTAATACAATATATAGATGGTAATCTTGGAAAATATGCTTTATAAATGCTTCTTGTAAAATGAAATTCTACTGAAAGTGGGGACAAATGAAATGATATTATCATTTATTTAATTTCAAATAAAACAACATTAATCTATATATATATGTATATTTGTTTTAAATTAATTGCATGTATCCATAATATAAATATGTATAATAAAATCCTAAAACTTCAAAAGATACATATATGAATGCTATTTTACGGTTAGTTATAAAAGATAATTGATGAAACAAAGATATGTAGAGTAATTGAATGTTAAATAAAAATAAACTATTTGATTGAATTATTCATTTGTAGATATTACGCTTAAAATGAATTCCTAATTAGAATTATAGATGAACTAATTATGAGGATCATAACGTATTTATACATGTATGATTAATTTTAAGCAAAAATGTAATCTCAAATTTTAAAGGACTAATTTTGAAATTTTTCTAGAAAGCTTCAC